TTTCAGGTTTAACTGGAGTAACAACTTGTGTTGACATAAGTTCACTCGAAGGGTTTTTTTGGAGTCTCCAGTACCTGAGCGCTTTTTGTTGGGGAATTGGGCTTGCCTGCCGTTGTTGCGGGAGTAACATTTTGCAAGTTGGGCAGGTGTGGTTAAAGGGACAAGGGGATATATATTTCAAGAGGTGAGGGGTTTGATCATGAAATCTTTGGGTATAGACAGCAATAAATATACTGAATGCTCGGACCCATTCTGGAAATGAAAGGATTTTCCCTTCTTTGAAGGGTTTAAATTAAAATGTTTTGATTCAAAAGAATTGTCAGATTACATCTCACAGAGGACATAATCATTGTTTTTGTCTTCTTCAATACAATCATGAATCAATACATGAATACCAAAATATAAGAATATCATAGAAATGAATTAAAGTAAATCCGCAAAATCTGAAATATGGACAAATTAATGTAATGTAATATGTTGAAAACTGGGAATTGGATTTATTGAAGCTACTGACACCTGTCCTTGTAGCATGGCATTTGTGTTGGGAATTAATCCATAAGCTGTAGAGACGGGTTGGGAATTATGAAAAGCTGAAAGGTTAGTAGAGACTGGAGGGATGAAAGGGTAGGGTTGGATATTAGCGCTTGATGCAAAAGATGGAATAGGGCGAGTAATTGATGCTGTGGGTCTATTTAGAGAGAATGAAATGTTGGGTTGGAATGGAAGATGTAGTGGAATAAGAAGGGAAAGGGGATAAGGGAAAAGTTGTTGTAAAGTTGCCCCTTATTAAAGTGGGCATAGACTTGGCTGCAGTCAGGGTATTAGAAGTGTGATACTCTTCAATAGTAATACTTGGGTTAGGTCCTTCCGTTTCAGACATTTGCAGTGAAATAATTAGTAGTTATATAGAGGGTAAGCAACTTCAAGACATAAAAACATTTAGATAAATATAAATAGAAGCACATGCTCCATGTTAGATGTATATAAATATGATGCCCATAAGGCTAATCATAATAAATATGATTTAGAATACACTGCATAAATAAATGCATATGATATATAAAGATTATGAATTATCATAATATAAATATGATGCCCATAAGGCTAATCAAAATAAATATGAATTAGAATACACTGCATAAATAAATGCATATGATATATAAAGATTATGAATTATCATAATATAAATAAGATGCCCATAAGGCTAATCATAATAAATATGATTTAGAATACACTGCATAAATAAATGCATATGATATATAAAAAATGAATTATCATAATAAATATGATAACCTTTAAGAATAAAGGTAAAGTATACAATGCATGAATAAATGCATATGATATATAAAATAATATGAATTATCATAATATAAATATGATAACCTTTAAGAATAAAGGTAAAGCATACAATGCATGAATATGAAATATAAAATAATATGAATTTTATCATAATATAAATATGATAACATATCATGTCTAAAGGTAAAGTATACACTGCATGAATAAATGCAGATGATATACAAAATAATATATATTTATCATAATATAAATATGATAAAATATAAGTAAACAGGAAACTAAATTTCCTAATATAAGTATAGTACTTATGAAGGATAACTAAGTGAATAAACTATTGTGAAAAGTTAACGACTCTCTGGCTTATGTTTGGTTAGAGAAGAGTAGCCGTCTCTTCTAATGTTAAGTCTAATTATTATTACCTAATAAATGTAATCAAGAAATCTCAGGACTGCGCCTTTCCAGGACTTGACGAAAAGCTTTTCCCCTTTGCATTGAGATGTATGGGATCGTAGGAGTCATCTATCAAATTTGACCATTGATTCTATATTGGGTGGTATGTGGGTGATGTAGGAACAAAAGTCTATTGCCCTTATGATGATGAATATCATTTAACAATTTGAAATTGGAGATAAAATATTGAATTATATTGAATGCCTTCTGAAGCAGTATTGATCGAGGATTTGAAAGGATGCCATGAGCGTTGAAATAGTTCTAAAAATAAAAGGCTTTTAATGAAGGATGTAAATCTAAATATTGTTCAGCCAAAGTGATGAGATTATTTGCAACAAAGGTAGATGATCTATGAACCAGATCATTTTCTCCTAGCTGTAATATAGCCATATCTGGATAGGGATTTTTATATTTTACATCATCTGAAATTGTTTAATTGTATATAAAATGATGGTATTATAGTTAACTATGTCTTCCTTTAATTTAAAGTCAAAATGGTTAGATTCTTCTATTTTCCGAACAAAACTGTGGCCTATAATGCTGACCCTAATAACATTAGGCATCTCTAATTGTCTTGTATAATGGGAGAAGAAAGGTAAGGATATTAATGACTCCTGTCTTATCCTCAGAGTAAAGTTTATTATGTGCAAAAAGGTGTCAGAAATATAGAAGAAAAGGAATAATTATAGCTCTCTCAAGAGATAAATATATATCAAACAATAAAATGATATCTGTACCTTAATGGTACTATGAATAATCCCAATAACAACCAGAAATCTCTGGAATGGGATAATAAAATAGAATAGATATATTTATTTAATAGCCAACAAGGTTACTTACACTCGTAAATAAATGAAATATCTATTATTAGATTGGATGGAGTCTATTGAACGTAACTTGAGGACATGTATGTGACTTACTTAGGTCCAAACCTTCTCTATATTCCGGCTTTGAGTAGAAAGATTAGCTGCCTTGGTGTTGTAAATATTGTAAATCAATGTGTCACACACACAGGAAATACGGCATAATAATATGAAAAATATCTTTATGTATAGATTTGAGAAACATCAGCACACATCTCCGTCTGAATCTATTGTTATATTTGATTTCTTTAAGCGAGAATAATTTCAAAGTTTCCTACATTATTGACGTCTGGAACCGAAGCCATTTTTAGCTACAGCGAGAAAATTTAACCATGTGTCAAACTCCGAAAAGAAATTTTGAAATATCTAAAACCAGACAAGCAACGCTTCATCCTAAATATAATTAATATAAAATGAATTCTAGGTGCGTGTAGCAATTTTTACATACGAAATACGAGTACATACGAAATAAATGAAGTTACATCTAGCTGTAAGGTAGAGACTCGAGTAATATGTGACGTGTCCATATTCATCAAGAAATTAATTCTTTTGTATAAATTCAAGTTTTAAACCATATGTACGAGATATCAATTGAATACTTCAAACATAAAACTACAAAGTCATAAAGACAAAAGATAAAACGTGTTTGAAATTTTTTTTGAACTTTTTTAAACTGACGTTTTTTATGTGAAATATTACGATAAAATTTTCACAAAACGATTCAGCGATAGATAAATGTATATACAAGAGATAAATGTCGATAAAAAGAATCGAAATGTATAACTTACATTGATGTTAATGGATTTTGTACGCACCTAGGGAGAAAACCCTCCAACTACAATCCTATCGATATCTCGTCTGAAGTCTCATCTCGTACTCTCGAGATCTGAAGCTTGATGTTTCGTTCAGTGTAACTTACCAGAAACATTTACCTGGGATAACCGGGGAATGGTCTTCTTAGGGCTTGTTCATACCTAAACCTTAACCGACTCTCACATTGCCATAAATGAAATTATTGTCAATAATTTGAATTAAAACGTAAACATAAACCAATTAGTCACTTCACTATGAAAGTGGGGGTGTTAGCAAATGTATACAATGTATTAGGCCATAAGAAGTAGATTCTTTGTTTTGCGTCCTGGCAAAATCCAAATCATGCAAGTGTACAAGGAAAACAAACACAAACTCAAGAAAAAAACACAAACTTGTTTGCTGAGAAATATATACATTTTAGGGGCATAAAAAAGGATGACATCCCAATTTGCAGTGATTACAAACACATATCTATACATTTTATACAATATATAAAAATATAGCTATTATTCAAGGGTAAAAAATAAGAAAAAACACAATGTATGTCAAATAATTATAACACTGTCAATTTTTGACGCACATCAAATTATCCGCCATTTCATCTGATTCTGAAATGCGATGGTACTTTCAGACCCTTGTGATTGCTATTTGGATGTGTTTTTTCTGATTTACTCAAAATCGTGCAAGCAAGGGGATGCAAAACAGAGGATCTACTTCTTATGGCCTTAGCAGAATACGCTGTGTGCATGGACTAACACAATATCAGTGGTCATTTACTGTGTCAACTTAGTAACCCTTGCATATCGTGCTCACTCAAGTATTGAATAATTTTTTATGATCTAAATGTTTGTGGTTTATAAAAAAGTGATATATTTTAGTTAGAAATACATTAATTAATATATTCATTCAAACAGCACTATAATGCGGGAAGAAAGAGCAATGGTGACAAAATGTAGACAGAATTTTCCGTAAGGGTTTCAAACATTTCTGGACACAATCATACATGTATATAGTGTACTGTTATTTTTAGTGCTGTATTTATAGATATAATTTCACGTATTAAAATCATATTTTCCACCAATGACTTCAAATCCGGAACCACACCCATATCACATTTTCTTCAATAACTCCAAACATGTGTAAACATTGACCATGTGCATATAAATTCAGATTTCACGAGCTCTTTCATATTCGAGTACCTCATACACCCCTGCATGGATTTGAGTTGGATTCGCCTTTTATACGTGAGCCGACACACTCACAAACGCTGATTGGATAAAGATTGCGAGAATCTTTAAAAGGATAATGATAGAACAATAAAACTAAGTTGGATTGAAAGATATATCTTTATTCTAACTTATTATCAAGTTTAAGGGACAAAACTTCGCATTCCCTTTAAGGTTTTGGTCAAGCACATTAACTCCCTGTTCTAATCAGATCTTGAAGCCATGTCAGTATAATAGTTATAGTTATAATAAATATACTATATAAAATAAGAGAGATATTATCACACTTTATCAAAGAGCAACACAAGGCAACCTACAGTATTAGAAAAGATTAATCTTATTTTTTCAGAATAAGCAGACGATGACGTCTCTATCCATGCCTGTTTATGATCTCAAGACTACCAAGGTTAGTTAAGTTTGCAAATGTCACGATTATCATCAAGTTTTTAAATGCAAAATAAAATGAAAAGGAGAGATTTTGGCAAGGAATAGTAAAGAGGCATTGATAGTAATTTGTATAGATATGCCCAAAAAGTGTAAAAAGTTCTGTCATTAGGGTTGCAGCCACAATCCCAAAATAGGCGAGGCAATTAAAGCCTAAGCTATAGAGGATGTTATACTATAAAGTGATATCATTTCATATTTTCTGTCAAAAGATGTTTAAAGAATAATTGTTAGCACAATTATGGTGAGGTATTTGTGTTGTTTGCTTAATACCTGGCCTCACCTATAGTCATCTTTAGACAAATTTTATGATCATTAACATAAGTATTGTTGAATTATTTGTTTCTATATAGTAAATATAATAGTTGTCTGCTGCAATCTGATGAAAACTTTGGAGAAAAACAAATTTCAGTTCAGTAGTTCACACTTGCAAAAAATGGCCGTTACTTATTGATCAGTCCTCGTATATGTCACCTTTTATAACAGAACACTGCTTGGTTTGACTTTTTTAAGGTTTAAAATTGTATTTTTAGCATTTAGTACCATTTGAGGATGTAATGGTGAGACTTAAATCCTCACTTTTCAACGATTTCTTTCAGTCACTTTTCTCAGTTTTTACACAGTACTATCTTACGAAATGAGAACCTAAAAGTGTTAAACGATGAAGTCTTTGAAAAGGCTAGTTTCGGTTTGGAGAACGAAGTTCATCAGTCTACTGCATGTTATGCCTGCTTTGGACTATTTTGATAATTTTACATATTATAGATTTTAATGTCCTCTTTTGAATATCCATAATTTAATTTGGGTGATATTTCTATATCTTTCATAAAAAAATTAGTAGCGGAGTACACTGATGAACTTCTTTCTCCAAATCGAGAATTGGTCTACTGCACATTACGCCTGCTTCGGACAATTTTGATATTTTTACATCCTGTAGATTTAAGCATTTAATTTGGGTGTTATTTCTATATGTTTCATGAAAAGAATTATTAGCCCAGGAAACTCATATCATGTGTACATCTTAGAAATCTAGTTTATTACTTAGATAATATTGATATGTTACAATTTGCATTTCGTATCATCTTAAATTGAACGCACTACAGTAAAACTTGAATATCTGAAATACTCTTTAATCTGAAATTATCTCAATTTGAAAGCTCTTTTCAGTCTTATGTTTTACTTTCCATTTTTAAAAAACTTCAAAACATTTGAAAATTTTGCTGTACTGCCACCCGCTGATTTTATTTCATTTATTAAAGATAGCAGAACATTATTTTCTTCATGGTCTGAGTTTTCACAACAATCATGTTGATAAAAACGATAAAAAATGTGAACATCAAATTCTGCTTATATTTTCATATTTGTAACTAAATCAAAATAAAATTCATCACATCATCAGAATACAAGAGTTTCACTGGTATGGTCAGTAAATGCATGAGCATCTTGAACCATCCATATTATTGTTATTTATCCACAGCATTTTAAGGCAGGCTAAGTCAAATGCTTGTGCACTTGCTTTATACACTGGCATCACATGCAAGAATTCACAGATTTATACTAAACAGACAGGACTATAATATAGGCATCACAGTATTTTTTAAGTAGGTTAAACTTTGTCTGAACCAAACTATTTTGATATACTAATTATCCCAACGAACAAAGTTTGCTAGGGATACAGTGAAGCCGTCCCTCCATCCATCTGGAAGATAACTCGAATACTAGTCGAAAGATTTTCTGGTGAATAGTTTTACACAAAAAAGTTTTCCAAGATGGCCGCCATTTTAAAAATGGCGGTAATTTTTCGCAAAAATCTTTTTATTTCATTTTAAACCAAAGTAATAAATATTATTATTTGAAATGTTGGTAGTATATTCACAACATCTATCTATTTTACATATATTCCATGTTTTTCACTCTGACCCCCATGGGCCGTGAATGGGGGGTTGGGAAAACAGAAATTTGCATTAATTTTGAGATGTTTTTGAAGTATAGCTTTATTATACTCAAATGAAAGGCAATTTTGAGTAAATTGCAAATATTGTATCGCTTTTCTGATTCGGGCCTCGTAGAATGCGAAATGGCCACCCAATGTGGGATTTCGCAATAATTTTTCGATACTCAAATTTAAGGAATTTTAGAGTAGATCACAATTATGGTATTGTTTTTTTTTCTGAATTGTGCCTCAGAAAATTCAAAATGGCTGTCTAGAGCAGGAATTGGCCATTACTTAACGATATCTTTAAATATGGTTACATGTACTACAATGATCTCAAGTATTTATTGAAGGAAAGAGTAGATGGTAAATATTACATTGTGACTGTACAGATTCATGATTTATATAGCATTCGTTGGGATTTGCTACTCCCTGGAGTTGCAGATTTCTAGTTAAATCTAGTATTGGTACATGCAATTGTATATCAATATGAAAGAACCAGAAATATGCATTTTTCCATCAAGCCCTTGTGTTCCCATAGCAACCATTGTCCACCTAACAGGGGTAGGGAATGTTGAAGATTTTGAATTAGACTTATTCTGAATTATTACTGAAGAACCAACAAAAATAAAGCTATAATACATGTACTGATTCTCACTTGTATTTCAGATTTTCAAACCCTACTCCCTTAGCAACAGGAGTTATGGTGATTACTATGGAGACTATATGAAGGATGGCCCCAACACTGTTGCAGCCGATAGTGTTGATATTATTGATAATGAATATACAAGTAACTATGATAGCTCCTATGGCTCTTATTATGAAAATGGCTATGGCGAGGCTCTAGAGGATAACTTGATGGAGGTATACATGGGCCTGAATGTCTTCTATATATGTGTATTCTACACTAACTGCACACACTTTTCAACACCCTATCACAATAAGGGAACACATCGAGACAATTTCAGTATTTTGTGACACAATCCATACGGTCCTGCATCCTTGAGCTGCACATTGCAGAGCGATCTCCACATGGAATCAAATGTACCAGTTATGAATCTAAGAACTTCTATAGCTTTGTTCTTGAACCCATTATGGTTAACCATATTTTCTGAACCCATTCTGGCTTGTTATAATCTGTAAACCAATTCTTGGCATTTCCTTGATGAACCCATTATGGGTAACCATTGGATTGAACCCATTCTGGTTTGTCATTGTCCCTGAACCCATTCTGGTTTTCCATATTTTCTGAACCCATTCTGGCTTGTCATGATAATCTGTAAATCAATTCTTGGCATTTTCTTTATGAACCCATCATGGGTAACCATTTGATTGAACCCATTCTGGTTTGTCATAGTCCCTGAACCCATTCTGGTTTAACATAATCTCTGAACCCATTCTGGTTTGTCATTGTCCCTGAACCCATTCTGGTTTGACATAATCTCTGAACCAATTCTAGTTAATCATTGTCATTGGACCCATGCTGATATTTTGGACATTTCAGTTTGATGTTTTGTGCCCCGTTAAAGTAATGCACTGGGAGACCACTTCACGCATCATAATATAAAAGAAGATTTCTTTCATACAATCATTTCCTTGGTTTAGGAGGCACAGTAAGAAAATACACGTCTTTACTGTTCTTCCAGACCATCACATCCAGAGTAGAATTTAAAAAAATGTTTTAATCAGTAGTTATATATATTAACTGTAGATCTTTTTATTCATAGATTTTAGGGTGTCTCACACTTTAGCATTGTACTTCTCTATAGGCCGCTTTCTAGATTCTGTTTCATGTTGTATACATTAATACAACAAAGTTGGGGAGGGGATGTAATGTTCTTATTCAAAATAGAAATAAAGAAATAAACTAATTATGTCTTCGAAAAAACACATTATCTCATTACATGATATGTGAAAACTTATTTAAAACTGTTAGAATTAACACTGCAATTATTCAAAAGATGCTTGAGATGTGATACCATCCAAAGATCTATGTCTCAGTTTTTCTCCTTTCTAGGTGCAGATGCACTTTGATCTTACAAACTGATCACCAGCTCCATCTTTAACACTTCTTTGTAAAATATAGTGATGGTCATGCTTTAGAATGCTAAGTGGAGTGGAAAGAAATGGAATTAACAAGAGTTAAAGTGAATAGGAATAAAGATGAAACCCAAAATTGTTTAGAAATGACAGCACGTTTGACACCTCATTCAAATTTTACAAAGATATTGCATAAAATAATTATGACATTTATTTTAATCATTCTTATCATTCGATTTCTCAGCTCCATCTATTCTTAGCATGTCATGTTAATATGCCTCAATCTTTTTATTCTAGATCTTTCACAGTAAATGCCCACACATACAGACCCGTAGCCAGGGGGGGTTCGCAGGTTTCGGGCGAACCCCCCCCCTGGCCAAAAATTCTTTCAAAATCATGCAGTTTTTCACCAATTTGAGCACTTCTCAAGTGATTTTAGCCATATTTGGGCCAAAATTGTCAAATGTGAACCCCCCTGGAAATTTTTGAAAACTGACTCAACCCTCCTTGGCAAATCCTGGCTACGGGCCTGACAATTACCATGCATGAAGAGTGAAGCACAAGTTCCTATGATCACAATATAGTCCCAACCACAGCCCCAAAATATGGCTCCACCTATTGTTTTATATGGGCCAATTATTGTGGCTGTGCAAGAGATTTTATTGAAATTGAGTTTATTGCTCCTAGACTGTATATGTAGATGTAGACTAGAAATAAAAAAGATTTGAAATCTTCGTTTCAGAATTACAATTATCTTGCTTATGAAATGATTTATTTTTCTGCATTCTACTCTATACTATGTAGATCGAAATTTGATAAATTAAACACAAATTAAGTTCACTCAAAATTGTTTGCAAGGTTGTTGTCCACATATTTGTCAATTATGCTGTTGCATAATTACATGGTGCACACCCAAAAGACCCATATATGGAAGGATTCTGTATGGGGCTTATCCTGAGGGAAGGAATGTATATGAGGTTTATCCTGGGGTAATTAATGCAGAAGGAGTTCATCTAGAGGGAGCGATTGTATAATATACAATCGAAATAATATACAATTGGAATATAATATGGGGTTTACCCTGAGAGAATAATTATCCTGAGGGTGGGACTATATTGGGCTTATCCTGAGGGATGGAATGCATTTGTAGTTATCTCAAGAGCACTGATGATTTGAAAGAGGCTATATACTGTACATGGTGTGGGCTGTACAGAGCCAAGAATATTGTATAACATGTATAATTATTCACTCAGATGTTTATTAACCATTCTTGTGAAGTTGATTCTCCGGGACATGTTCGTTTATGAATAGCCCCTTCTGTCAAATAATACGTAAGCAAAACATTTCTTATTCAGTACAACAATAAGACCCTTGACTATTTGAATGACACAACAATAAGACCCTTGACTATTTGAATTGACACAACAATAAGACCCTTGACTTTGAATTGACACAACAATAAGACCCTTGACTATTTTAATTGACACAATTAAGATCCTTGACTATTTGAATTGACACAACAATAAGACCCTTGACTATTTAAATTGACACAATTAAGACCCTTGGCTATTTGAATTGACTCAACATTAAGACCCTTGACTATTTGAATTGACACAACAATACAATCCTTGCCAATTTGAATTGACATAACAATAAGACCATTGACTATTCGAATTGACACAACAATAAGACCCTGAATTGGCAACAATTAAAACCCTTGACTATAACACCTTTGACTGTGAACTGACTTATGTTTATATTTTCAGGTGGAACAACCTAGAGGGGATTTACTAGGAGTTGTAGGAACAGATGTCCCCATGAAGGAAATCATTGAACTCATGCCTTACTACAAGGTAACAATACTCAACCAGAAACTATGAAGTGTCGGCACTGTTATACCATAATATTTTTTACCTGTATTCAGCATTTTGTCATCATTTATAACATCTGTGACAATAAACTTTTATTCTACTTTTAAAATTACAACCAGGATATGACATTTTGTGAAATTTTAGAGGGATGAAAGTTGCCTTATATCTAAGAAAGAGTCAAAGGCATGCTAGGCAAATCCAGAAAAAGCTGGGTTTGGGAAATCAGGGTTCATTGTTTCTTTCTGTTAACCTATATGCGAAACTACATTCATAAGACATACTACAGCCAAACCCAGGTGCGCTTTTCCCTTTTTAAATTTCATTTCATGGCCCGGGGTGCATCAGGGTTCAAGGCCATTCCAAACAAACTAAGTGTTTAATGAGGCCATGGAATGTAAAACATTTGCTTGTGTATGTTATATTTTGTATTGTACGATGAACCCTTTTAATAAGAGCAAAGGCGGATTTGGATAGCGACAAACCCGGGTTATGATGGTGCAGCCTATACCAATGAGTGCTTTTGATATATCTGTTATTTTGAAAAAATATTGAAAAGTTGACTTAATTTCAAAGAAGAACATACTTTAACTAACCAACAGTTGAATATAAACTATTTCTTTACTTTCAGCTCGGTGTAAATGGCTATGTATTTGCCATCACACATAATGGATATGTTATGATTCACCCCAATTATAAACCTCTGGTAAGTTAAATACTCTACAGACCAAATTATATATAGAACCCCAGTTTGCATTTCATAGCTTTACACTGACATATTTATTAGTTATATGAGACCACCTTCTTATTTGTTTCATTTGGCTTTGTTGATTCATCAAATATTTTCTTCAAAAAACAGAATTTAGCATGTTGGTTGAGAGTATTGCAAATGGCTTTTTATCATTAAAAAGGTCAATGACATTTTGATGGTTTTCATTAAGTTTAGTTTATTGATTAATAGAAAGGTTAAGGTGTATCATAACTTGTCTCTGACATGTTACAGGATCATTTTGGTGAGACACGTCCCAAGTACACGAGTGTCGATCTTCAAGATGTGGAATTGCAGGTCATGTACGACATGGAACAGGAACATGAAACTATTGGAGAGTTGCTCGTGAAAAAATTACGAAATGAGATGATTGATGGGAAGAAAGGGGTCATGAATATAACAGTGACATCACATTATGATGATAAGGTACGGCTTGAAAGTGATTCAGATTTTTCTTACCTTTTTGTAATTGTATGTTATATTTTGTATTTACCAAGATGGTAAACACATGAAAAACAGTTCTTATTATGGTCTAAAATATGCAAAATCAGAAGACCCCTTGTACTCATTCTATCTCAATTTTGACCAGGATAATGGCAGAGATTGTAATCATTGGCTGTATTGTGAAGATCTTAATATTTTTAATCAATGTATAGCTCTTTATAGTACTAAAGTATTTTTCTTTTTTATGATTAAGAAGTTAAGGATTTAAGTCTTTAACTCAGTGCAATGTGGAATGACCATTTCTTGAAGGTGTTGCTTTTCAAAATTCGCACGAGATGCTTATTTCTCAAATTAACTTGAATTCATAGTCTGTCTCCATGGTAAGCTGTAGGGCATTAATACATAAGACTACTTTAAGAAGAGTACTGGAATACCACTTTTGAGAATTCAACAATTCATAACAGTCTGCAATTTACAATATTAACAGACTTTTGTACTAAGATGCTTTCCTGAAAATACCTGAAAATTGCTCACCAAGTAAAAGGTATGCCATGGGTGTGTTATAAGGAATGCATGCACCTCTTATCATTTCCAAAAGATAAATCATTCACCAAATTTGTGAGCAAATTTTTTAAAGCTCTATTCTTTCCAGAAAAGAAGGCTTGTATCTTTGTGTCTTAAGGTGCAAGTTGCAGATAATTTTTTAATTTTGGTGTATTTTATGATCACAAATAGACACTGAGCCACTTTATGTACAACTTGTTGAGATATAGCATTTGTGTTTTCATATATATGTCAACGTTTTTTTTATTGCAGCCATTTTGGAAGCGATCTTCAAGAAGGATCAATCAAACATTTTATTACACAAAAATAGACCACACACCATTCAGGTTAGTTTTTATTGCAAACTTCTTCATGTTAAACTTTATTTATTTATTTTGTATTTTTATTCTGTATTTTTGTATTCTAACTGTGCTCATTCACTCAATATCATATTTCCCTCAGTCAATATCATATTACCCTGGAATTAAACTCATATCGAAAATAAACCAAGAAAAAACCAATATTTCTTTAATATTAGTATCTGGATGTATTTTTTTGAAAATTACACAAAAAATTGTCATCGTGCAGATCTACCATCTTGTTTTTGTTTTTTTTAATTGTAAATGTATATCATTTATGCCAGTGACACCAGGCAGCATCTCATGTTGAAAATTGTTTCACTATATGTAACTTGATAACATCAGTAAATGTTTTTAAAAGCAATATATCAGTGTTTTTTATCTATTTTGTATTCCTTGGTACTTTTGTCAAACTGGTTTTAAACCTGAATAACTATAATGCTTTATGTAAAACCTAAAACGGATGCACTCGTTATACTAGGAGAGCCGTTGCTTCAAAACTGAAGTGTCCAAGTAAATAAATGAAATGAAATATTTGTTTTCCTTTTGTAGCCTTGGACTGTCTCTTCCTCCAGGGTATGGCCATCATGAAATAATTAGCAAGTCGAGATACATGAGTGGCTTTGGTGAGTACACATGGTGTTTAGCAAGGGTCTTTTTTCTATAAAAGGGGTCTGTATTTTAAAAATATCTAATAAATATAACATAAAATGTAGCAAATATATTTTGTATGTTGATTAGTTAGACATTTGATTTGTTCTGTGACTGAATGCAGTTCAGTGTATTTTTTATTTGTCCAACCACCAAAACTGTATAAATAATGTAATTATTATTCCATTGCTGAAATTAGTTATTAACCATTATATATTTCCTTTTTGCAGATCTTCAGGATTACATTTCAGATGACATTATTTTAGCCGACTGGTAAATATCACTAAATATCATTTTTCATATTTTTGAACTTTTCTTCACGAAGGAAATGGTCAAAATAGTGTATAATTCAGCCAAATCTATTTAGTTTAAAGGTAGAATCTGAAGAAGGGAGCAACTTGAAGTGTCTAGATTTTTAGAATGTTTGAGCCTATACCATTTTTGTCATGCAGCTCATTCAGTTCAAAGCAGTTTATTTGTTAAAGAGAGAAAATCCATGAAATAGACATATGAGCATATGAGAAGATTTAATGGGAAAACATATAAAATATATTGGCAATTGTAATTTCTTCTTGCAGGCCATACTGTATTGTAGACAAGCAAAAAACGAATGTGATGAGTGAGCGGGAGAAATTAGAATATTTCCTCGACAAATCTATACCCAAGAAATGTAAGTTTTTATTCTTTGAACATTTTTCATTCATTTATATATTTTCACACAAATACAAATGCAGAAGATGGATAAATAAAAAATATTTTATGAAGTATAATGGCCCTAAAATGCCATGGATCGCGAACTTATGTTTTATTTGAGAAGAAATTGTTAATTGTTAAACCCTAAAAAAATCTATAGCATGCAATGTAGTGCAACTTTTAGTCAGTTGGCTATATGCAACTACAGTACAGAAAAAGTATTTGGGTTTAAGACTCCTTTAAGTACTCTTTAAAGTTCTGTCTGTAGTATTATCTCTGACAAAAGTAGAAAAATCTGTTCACTTTGATCTACATTTGCTTTTTATTACGTCACTACTATGGTACAATAGTCTCCAACTTATTTGTGAATGGTGTTCGGCATCTGTAACATGGTGTCTGTAACCAATTATGGTACTATAGCTGTAACAAATGACAGGTGGTGACATTATGCATTTAATGCCTTGTATTTTTAGGTGATAGAGATATGTTGGACCAGGTGAAGTTTGACCTCAAGGTCACAGCGATTGTCTCAAAGGCATGGGCAGATATGAAACAAGGGTAATTACTATCTGGTTGAAGTGTATGCTTTATTAGTCTATGATAAATTTTGCATAGCTAGGCTCCCAGCCTCGGATCCTTTGACTACAGGGTTCTTAAACTTCTCAGTGACATAGAGGAAAACAATGGCCATGCGTTATAATGGTCATGTTTTCAAATGCAAATTACAGTGGAAAAGAGTGGAATTAGCAAGGAATTAAATTACTAGGCATGATGTGTACACTCTGAATTGTATAGAAATGCAATAAAATCATAGTTCAGTCAAATTTAAGAGAGAGAAATCACATGATTGGATGGCTGTTTAACAACCTTTGTTGTCGAGGGTTCGAGTCACAGTACATACTAGTGTAGAATCCCGGTGTATTAGTAATATTATGCCACCAAATGAAATTAGTTGGTGGGATATCAAAATGCAATATCCACAAAATTCACCGGGATTCCAGGCCCATCAGACACTTTTCAAGGGAAGGTGTCGTTTCACAATTGTTATGATGGAGACATTGTTATAGTTCCCAACTTTTTTGTGGATGGTGTTTGGCAGTTTGCATTCAGATTTCTGCTTACAGAATTCAGCATCTATAACAAATAGCAGGTCGTGCCATTTGTCATGTAAATGCCTTGTTAACTGGGACTTGTCTTGTCCCCCATCTGGCGGGCCTAGATTATGAACTAAATAAGAATTGAAATCATTTTTGATCAAATATAAAAATAACAATTTGGTGGACTTTGCCACATCCTGGCGCTTCAAACTAGTTGAGTTCCTCCGTTTGTTTTTATTGTTTCTTAAATACATTGTATAGTATTTTAGAATTATGCACTTTGAATTTGTAAGAAATTCTCTCAGTGTCTTGAAATACATAATAGAGTAGATGGGTCTTTCAAATTTTATTGAGGAAATGTATGGCTTGGTTCTGACCAGATTGAAGACAAGTGGAATGATTATATGGCAGATATTTTGTCAAATGTGTGCCAACAATTTGAATAATTGGAATTCTTGCTGTCTTTTTGAGAGAATATTAGAACAATTAATTTACTAAAATAACCTGCATCATTTGTTTGGTTTCAGAGCTGAAAAGTAATGTTTAATAATTATGTATCTGCATATAAATAGTTGACACTTATTCTGATCATTCTCCCAATTCATGCCAATTTATTTTCCTATGAATTTTGTCAGATTGATATAACCTGGAGGGCCTCTATACATAAAGGGGCATGATATAATTCAGATATCAGTTGAAAAGCTCTTTTGGTCCAATTTTAGTCAAAATTAGTGGAATATTGTCTTTACAATATGATATTGCATGACTTTTTTTTCAAAATATTACCCTATGAAAACTTTGTATTGATAAAACATAAGGTCATTTAGGAAATTTAGTGACCCCCCACATCTTAGGTGTAAAATGTCCAGTACGTTTTTAAACACAAAGGTCAAATGGTCATCAGATCACTCTATCAATAGTATTGTTTCCATTAGAAAAAAATGAACCATAATCATTGTCAAATTTTTTCCAACCATAATAATTGTGCTTCGATGGGCTTTAGAAATTGTCTATATGTTGTCAAAAATATTTTTAGCATAAAACATTTAGCCCATGACTTATGGGGGTTGACGTTTTGCAATTATTAAAGTGTTAAGCTTCATTTATTCACTTACCTGTGAAATTATTCTTTGGAACTGATCTCTTACCAAATGCAAAATAATTATTTTTGGCAAGTTTAATTATATGACCTTGACTTTTGTTATTTGTAACGTCTGCAGAAATTGTGATGCACGTGGTGGGCGTAAAAATAAACGTTGTAGACTGGACCGGCTATTAAGGTATATAGACCCATGTATAAAACGTCATGATCATCATTATTATTAAGGTAGGCGAGGCAGCATGAATTTTGAACCTGCTATTAAATGCTCCAAACATGTTATAGGGAGATTACTCATGCTTCTGTGCTTACCTTGAGGAAAACAAGAGAAAAAATATCAATATTTCTGTTTTATAATAAGAAGTAAATAATAAGCTCATATATTATTCCATGGTTTGAAAACTCTTTTTGGATCGTGGTGTTCTTTGCTTTTTTGTTTTCTGAAAATTTTTTGACAGTCATGACGTTTTGTACAGGGTTGACTATTGCAAGCATCTTCAGCCTTGATTTTGTATTTCTTATTATTACAAAATATAATCTGCTAAGTACCTCTTAAATAGTCATTGTCACTCTGTGTAAAAGGATGCCTTGAAATCAATAATTTCATTTGTGATTCTTATTAAAAAAACTTTACTGTTAACTGTATTTTTTAAAAAAATATTTGTAAAATTTAGACCATTTTTTGGATTTCTTTTGTCAAATGAAACCATGTGGATTTATAACCAAGGGCTATATTATTGAAAGAAAAGTTGTTTTCTATAGTAAAAAATAGAAAACCTGTTGGGACAGTGACAATATTCTGTTTAAGAGGAATAGGGTGTTTCTCATCAGCATTATAATTCAACAGGATCCATCATTCAGATAATAGAGAGATTAAGTTACACCTGTATTTGAGAGAATTTGAACATGAACGCATTTGGTTTCCATTCTCCAAATGCAGGGCTCCAGACATCCACTACATTCCTTCCTTCAAGAACAAGGTATGAGTTCTGGAGCCCTGTGTTCAGAAGATGAATTGGTCCATGCAGGGACCTACTTTCAACTGCAACTATCTACTTTATTCACATTTCAACTACCTACTTTATCATCAATGGGTGACAGGTCCGTAGCCAGGGGGGGGGGTGATCGCAGGGTTCAGGCAACCGCCTCCCCCTCCCTCTGGCCAAAATACTTTCAAAATCATGCATTTTTTCACCATTTTGAGCACTTCTCAAGTGATGGGCTAAAATTTTTGAAAACTGAACCCCCCCCTTGGCAAATCCTGGCTACCGGCCTGGGTGAAGAAAGGCATGGGCTCTCAAGAGAAAGCCCATGGTAAAGGCTATGAAAGGAAAAAAGAGTCCCTGGGGAACCAAATTTTGCATGTTGATGTTCTTCAGAACAGTGGTAGCAATTAATATCCCTATTTCTATTTACAGATTTTTTTCCAGATTGATTTTGTTGAATTATAGATCCTTGATATGTATGAGAATTGCCTTGTCACTTTTTTTATTATTTCTTAAACTCGATGTCTTAATTAAATCTCAGTGATGTCAAAATTGTGAATCAAATAATATCTATAAATCTATAATATTTGATATCTGCATGTTTTGAATTGTCATTCATGAATATAAAAATCAAATGAAGAAGCAAATAAGGTTCATAAGCCTTAACACATATAAATATTGAATAAATTTGATATTATTTGACAAACATATTTTGGCATCCTTCTCTGTCTCTTTAGTAGATCTTCTTCTCAGCTGCATGCTTTTTGTGTTCAAATGGAGTGGCTTGTAGTATTCAGTTATTTACTGAGTTCGAGAATTGAACATCACCTTAAAATGTAGACTTGCTTCAAGACATTGTACCCCCCCCCCCTCTATGTACTTCACCTTCCTAACATGGGGTGTGTACACAGTCTTGAGACAAGACTACTTAAAATGAATCACTTCCTTGAGCTGTGGACTTGACTGAATTTTAATTGAAGAAACTTAAACTAAAGAAAACACACATTTTATTTTAGGAGAGAATACAATAAAGTTTCTCTCAATGTAGAATTCTCCATTTAAACATAATTGTGTGCGTGTATTATTTTTGTGAAAACTCGATGTACTTTTAGACTGTGTTATATAATGTATATAATGTTAATACACCTGCATGTTTGTTCATTGTTGGTTCATAACAGCATGTATTTAGACTTGTGTTCATACTGTTTTGTCACTATGTATACAGGAAAATCCAATTTTTGAAGATAGAGAGTTGAATCATGTGCTTAATGTCGATGTGAAAAAGTTGGTCTACCCCAGTGGGAGTTGAACCTATAACCTTTGATTACTATCCACTTGAATTTTGGAAACATTCTACCATCAAGATGCAATGTAAAAAAGTATTGGTGTTTTACTTATAAACTAATGTATTATTTATATACTCAGTGGATATAGTTACTGCAGGTCAATTAAGACTAATTAACACTAATTAAAACACAATTAACACATTTCTGCCATTTTTCTATGATCTTATTCAGTCATCCTGTTCTACTCTTTGCACATTCTATAATTCATCATTTTGATACTAATAAGTCAGCAGTTTTGTTGAGTATTAAAAGTTATTTGTTGAGGAAAGAGTTTTATTATTGAGTGAACAGTTTTATTGTTGAGTAAACGTTTTATTGTTGAGTAAAAGTTTTATTGTCTAGAAGCAGTTTTCTATTTGAGTAAGAATATTTTCTTTTGAGTAGTTAAGATTTTCTCTTGAGTAAGTAAATTTATTGTTGAGTAAACAGTTTTTATGTTAAGTAAGAAGATTTTTCTTGAGTAAACAGTTTTAAATATTAAAGACTGTTTGGTCGATTTAGGGATGGAGCCTTGGAACAAATGTTTGTTGCCACACCGTCTGGCTTAACACGCTTCCAGAAGTTTGAAGAGAACATTACAGAACCGTAAGTAGAGTGATTAATAGTCTATTTTGATCATGCCAATGAATATATTGTTATATATGAGTACATTTGTTTCTATGTTAGAATTTTTACAGCAAACTGTTTTAAATAATAGTTGGAATTAAAATGTGTGCACAATAAGACCTAGTCTAACTAAAATGTAACTATCTGGTTTTGAAGAAATGAACTCATTCTAATTAATAGGTCAATAAGGTCTACTGTCATACAAAATTGAAAAATTTCAATATAATTTGATTCAAATGAGTTCACTAATGGAGAAAGAAATATGACATTTGTAAGATATAGTAACATGATTTGTGTATTATTTGCAGCATGTTTCTCTATGATAATAGAAACACTATCCTAGAGGACTACTATAAACATGCTATTGAGGGAGGTCCTGGAATTATGTCTATTACTGTACCCTATCATGCAGGTAACCCATTCATTCATTTGTCTATTACTGTACCCTATCATGCAGGTAACCCATTCATTCATTTGTCTATAACTGGACCCTATCATGCAGGTTACCCATTCATTCATTTGTCTATTACTATACCCCATCATGTAGGTAACCCATTCATTCATTTGTCTATTACTGTACCCCATCATGCAGGTAATCCATTCATTCATTTGTCTATTACTTTACCCCATCATGTAGGTAACCCATTCATTCATTTGTCTATTACTGTACCCTATCATGCAGGTAACCCATTCATTCATTTGTCTATTACTGTACCCCATCATGCAGGTAACCCATTCATTCATTTGCATATTACTGTAACCTGATCATGTAGGTAAACCATTCATTCATTTGTCTATTACTGTACCCCATCATGCAGGTAACCCATTCATTCATTTGTATATTACTGTAACCCCATCATGTAGGTAACCCATTCATTCATTTGTCTATTACTGTACCCTATCATGCAGGTAACCCATTCATTCATTTGTCTATTACTATACCCCATCATGTAGGTAACCCATTCATTCATTTGTCTATTACTGTACCCTATCATGCATGTAACCCATTCATTCATTTGTCTATTACTGTAACCCTATCATGCAGGTAACCCATTCATTCATTTGTCTATTACTATACCCCATCATGTATGTAACCCATTCATTCATTTGTCTATTACTGTACCCTATCATGCAGGTAACCCATTCATTCATTTGTCTATTACTGTACCCTATCATGCAGGTAACCCATTCATTCATTTGTCTATCACTATACCCAATCATGTAGGTAACCCATTCATCCATTTGTCTATTACTGTACCATATCATGCAGGTAACCCATTCATTCATTTGTCTATTTCTGTACCCCATCATGTAGGTAACCCATTCATTCATTTGTATTACTGTATCCCATCATGTAGGTAACCCATTCATTCATTTGTCTATTACTGTATCCCATCATGTAGGTAACCCATTCATTCATTTGCTTATTACTATACCCCATCATGTAGGTAACCCATTAATTCATTTGTCTATTACTGTACCCCATCATGCAGGTAACCCATTCATTCATTTGTATATTACTGTAACCCCATCATGTAGGTAACCCATTCATTCATTTGTATATTACTGTACCCTATCATGCAGGTTACCCATTCATTCATTTGTCTATTACTATACCCCATCATGTAGGTAACCCATTCATTCATTTGTATATTACTGTACCCTATCATGCGGGTTACTCATTCATTCATTTGTCTATTACTATACCCCATCATGTAGGTAACCCATTCATTCATTTGTATATTACTGTACCCTATCATGCATGTATTATTAAGTAAGGTCATGCAAGTAGCACATTTCTTCATTATCCACTGCACAACATCCAAAAAAGACATCCATTCATTTGTCTTTACGTCATTCGTCCTTCTAATTCATCAAGATATTTCACAATCAACCCAGACTTTGTTTTTTCATCATACAAATGAAATCACTTATACATGTTTCTCTCATATTTCTGGCAAGTAAAAGTTCATTCCAAAAATATCATGGGACAGATTCAACGTGGCTTACGATGGGATCAATGATCAATGGGACTACCTTTTCCTAACTACATATTACACTGGGAGAATTCCATCAAAATACTGCTTAATTTCATACTTATGTGAGAGCCGTCATTTTCAAAGCTCTTTCAGTCAGCCAACCTAAATATCCTGTAGTGAACTCTTTATTTCAATCCATTGTACCATTCAAATCTGCATTAATATATCATTTTCCTTCTATATTTCCATAATTCTTTTTGTGCTCTCTTTTTACCATTGTGCTTCCACAGACAAAGTTGCAAGATTGCCACTGTGTCCCTTGTTAGATTTTTGATGATAAAACAAAAATGTTTTTTTAAAGATATTATTGCAGTTAGGAACAATGCATTCTACTAAGCATCTCAGAATTTCTCTGAACATTAATATAGTCCTTGTATATCATGAGATCTTGACACTGACCATAATGAAAGTCTGGGTCATACCACATAGTTCTGGTATATATAGTACGTGTAGTAGTAGAAGTAGGATATCCAGCTTTGAAATTTTCAATGGAACATGAGGCAGTCATGTATATGATTGAATTTTTAACATTACCCCTTGGCCTCACATTGTTTTTTAATTGTTCATCTGCTAACTTAAATGCTTTATTAATCATTTCTTTGTGAGTGGTTTGTGGCTTTGGACTGACAGTTCTTTTTGGGGCTTTTGTACCATTGTCTGGGTTGGGGGTTGTCTCATTATTGGTCGTGGTTGGTAGATTTGGACCTTTCTTATCACTATCTTTTGTTCGAGTAAAATTCCTTACAGCTTCTGTAATCTTATAAATCCCAAACTCTCTTGAGATTGTAATAATGTCGTGAGCATCATCAGTTATTGCCACAATGCCAAGTTGGACTTTTGTTGGTGCAATACCCAATTGCATTATGAATGCTTCAATGGGGTATTCACTAATGTCTGCATCAGTTGTAAGATCTGCTATGATGATTACGTTCCATTCTTTTACACAGGCTGGTCTATGACACACATTTGACCCTTTCGGGTTTGCTAAAATGAATTAGAGATTATTTTTTAATTTATTTTAAAAAACTATAGTACCCATTATTTAGGGAGAGCATTTAAAAATATTCACAGTTTGGTACAGATTGCTTTCCATTAAGCTTAAAATTAAATAACAGTTTTGAAAAAATACTTACTGGCCCCATTTTGAATTGGCCCAGTAATGCTATTTATCCATTTTAAATTATGGATAACTGAAGTATATAGTCCTGGAATGTCTCCTAGCCCACATTGTGGAGAACCAGATTTTACCAGTCCATAAACCATCCAATCACCTTGGAAATTAGACATTAATGGTCCACCAGAATCACCCTAGTAAGAAAAGATTTAAATCACTGTCCTGATATCACCTTTTAGAACGGTTCACAATGAAATCTTCTTTTACATTTTTGAGTAATCTTGAACGCATTGAAGACCGAGCGTGCGAAGATGGTGTAAAATAGCCTATGATGATTTGTGAAAACAGTGTTTTTTGGGATTTTCTATTCCGAAAAGTTGCTTTTTTCCGATTGGCTGGTATTTTCAAGTAAAATTGCAAATATTCTGTCTATTCTAAATATTCTCATTGTATATGACATTAATAAACTTAACACAGCTTCCCTCATGTTTTACTTTTAAAACAATAATTCATTAGATGCACCAGTGTTTGGAATTCAAAAGATGATGCTGTAAAACAATGAGACAAGTAACAATGGTTTAGTAATGCAAATCATTATCTGCATGTCCATTATTCTGTCCCTCCACCCCTACCTACATCCTTTTGACCATCTTTCTGTATGTCTATCTTACCTTACAAGTATCGGAATTTATGCCTCCAGCACAAATTGTATCTGCTGTTACCTTAATACCCTTCAAATGAAAAAGTCGTCTCATAGTCTTGTCTGTAAAAGTAGATCTACACTGCCCCAAGGGCTGTGATCTCAGTTCAATTTCTCTCAATACATTGGATTGTCTGCCAGATAAGACTGCAAAAGTATGTCATAGATGTTTACAGTATATATACAATTTATCTATTCACTATCTTAAAATTATTTTGAGATATGGTTGGTACACTCCTGAAAATCATGCTTCAGAAGACTCAACAACTAATTTTTTCTCACATTTGGTGATGGCTCCAAATCCAATAGCTATAAATGTCCCTTGGTTTGACAAATGATCAATCAATCCTTTTTTCAGATTTTTATCTGGCAGTTTAGCTGGTTGTATTTTTCCAGATGTGACATTGGGATTATAACCATCAAGTTTCACCAAGGCAATGTCATTTTTGTTGTGAGCCTTTATCATGCTAATGTTGTAGGCAACTTCTCCCTCTTCAATTTTTGTGAGGTCATGTTTGCCCAGAACTATTCTTAGGTCATCACTTTTTTTTCTAAAATAAAAATATAGAGTCACCAGATATGGCTGGTATTCTATGATTTCACGTGTTTTATCAATTTCGAATGTTGTATATTTACTGAAACTGAAATTTGCTCAAGCCAAATTAATTCTAGCATTAAAGGTAGTACCTTAACAAAAAATTCTAGAATAACTCCAGTAACATCTTTCATGAGATATTATATTTGAGATAGTAAAGAACATATTGGTAGGTCAACTGTACATGTAGATTGTAACTTCCATACCCCTTAAGATCAGATTCTGCCTCTTAAGTATTGTGAATACATCCAAACACATATTTGAAATTAAAGATACTTAAAGGAGCAACAAGGACTGTAGGGAGAAAATTCGAAAATTTTTATTTTTTCTGAGCTATCAGGTCAATATTTGGCTTAACATCTTCTTTGACATACCTAATTACCTATTTTCTTAAAATATATGGATAAACTATCAATTTCAGCATTAAGAAGTGTAAATTCCGTTCAAAGGTTCTATAAAGGGAGTCCCACTTATATATTTTTAAGTTTCACCACGTTTCAAGAGGAACATCAGCTGAAATAATGTTCATCCAGGGGGTTTCTTTGTAGACAATAAAAATATATGTTAGCCTTGATGAAATATTCAAATATATATTGACACTGGTCAATGATCGCTGAATTGTTGCACCTTTAACACCTAGGACCCAAAAACTAATTACCCTCGTGTTGAGGGTCTGGTTCTTGGAATTGTTATGTTTTGTCTATATTTTGTTAAATAATGTTAGAAAATGCAAAAACGTAATAAATTGTGGGCATATCATCCATTGCATTCATCCAAACGATACATTAATATCATTTAAACTTTAAGCATACCTTACAAAGCAATGAGCTGCTGTAAGAACCCAACCATCATTAAGTAAACTTCCACCACAAAAGTTCAACCAGCCCATTGGATGATATTTATCTCTTTTCTGGATGGTAGCAAACCATGGCCAACAGTTAGGCCATGCTTCAAACCCAAGTAGAGCACGTTCCCAGACTTGTATATGAAGAAAAAGCATAAGATTCAAAAAGATTTTAATAAGTTTAATAATTTTTCTTTTGACCTAACTGTATGAATCTACTGAATAGTGCCATTTTCTTTTCATCACAATCCCAGGAAAATCACTCATCCCATTTACTCAAGATATTTATACTATTTAACAAATAATAGCATTTTATCATAATTTGTGTTAAAATAATATTTAATGGTTAATAATATCAATTAACAAACATACAGCATTCATAATCATGATTTGGAGGGAAAGGCTGCTCTTTTTTAAGCTCATCTGCAATCTGAAATGCACCATCCCATTCATATGGCCAACGTCTTAGGTCATAGAAACGCTTGACTCCAAAGTTGTAGTAAGTTTCCTTCTCGTATCCAAAGATGCTGAAAGATCTCTTTGAATCACCCTTCTTGTTATAATATCGCTGCACATTACTTATTTGAAGCTTGTCTACTATGGAAAGTAAACCTTTAACATTTCGGTTTCTTTTCCTGAAACATTTAAATATTTCATTGGGATATACTGACTAATTGTTTAGATCATAAAAAACTGAAATATATGTCATTTAAAGATAGGCAAATTAGTAAGTAGTTAATACCCTGACTTACTTTTTAATCAGAACTGTAAATAGATCGACTCCATATAGAACCAATTCATCCAAGACATTGTCTATGCTCTCAACAGATTTTGAATCTGTCAGTCCATCTGTAAACAGGATGGCTGCCATTGCCTTTTGGTGCCTTCTATTTTCAACTCCTTCTGTAGTTTCAAATTGCATGTGATCTTCATACAGCGACCTTAAGGCTACATCAGTTTTTGGTTTGCATTTATTCTTTCTAGGATTTATTTCTTTGATAATTTGGCCATAAATATCAGCATTTTCATCATAGAATTCCATCTTAAAGTAAACCTTTGCATCCTTATCAAATGCTACAACACCTACTTTGAGTGCCGGTCCTGTTCTTTCTCGGCCTGACTATTCAAAAAACAAATATAAATATACGTTTGTATTTTAAACAACCATGTAACGCATTGCAAACAATTTTGGACAGTTTTATATTTGAGTTTTGTTGACCACATGTTTCTCATTTTACATAAGAACATTATGTTAATGTCTATAATTGGATTATACAGAAAGATCATGGATTTGTAGCCCAAAGTTTTGGCATTAATGTTATTTTTTTAATATAATCAAGAAGCAAAACTATGTCCAACCACATTTCTTGTCTTCGGGAACCCGTATCCTATTCAATATTCTAAAATATTCAGTTATAATACAGTTCCTACTACTTATTTGTAGCGTGCATTCAGATTGGCTGATGAATTAAAAGAAATGATGATACACCAGCACCATCTTTTTTACACAGACAATAGCCTAGCCTAATATGACTTTGACTTAGGTTAGGCCAAGGACGTCAGGTTAGGCTAAGATTGCCTATCCAGGATCAAACATCAAATGCTTGAAAAATAATGCAATGTTGCTTACTTGCTCCGCATTTAGCTGGCTTATGATAAATTGAGCAATTCCAACTGCTTTATTGAGTGCCTTGGCATCCCTTTCACAAGAGACATCAAACACCAACATCAAATTAAAACAAGCTAAAATGAGAGAGTATCCTTCAATAGCGGTAGTTTATCAAATATGAATGCACAGGTGCCAAAGCAAAATCATTACAGAACCCAGCAAGAAAAAGAAAATAAACATCTAAATGCAAACCAGTTAGCAGGAAAACAATATCACATACTATAAACCAACGTGAATAGAAACAATGTCTTCTACACTCCTCTCCCACCCCAACCTGTTTTTACCCTGTCTATGTTATCTTTATCTTTGTCATGCTACATTCTCAATTAGATTGTAATAAAAGAACAAGATCATAAAACCAATATATCGAAACACATAGATATAATAACATTTTATTCACTCATAAAGTATTCAATTTTAAAGTATTGCATACAATTTACCATATCTTAAGACATATAATAAGTATGTAATACATACGCTGATCTCCCTGTACCCAAGCTTCCTTTAGGGTGTAAATAGCCAGAATTAAGCACTGAGCAACTAGTTTCATGTTTGCTATATTATTTCATCTACCAAATTATCTGTTCATTCAAGCACATTGTAATATTTTATTTTGCATTGTTTCACTTGACTGCCTAAGTATGCTCAAGTATAAATTAAAATGAATAAAATAGATAGCAATGCTTAATTGCATATTGTTGTTTTTGCCGCAAATTGTATTATTGTTTATTAATTTGTCATGTCAAGTAAAATATATGGGAAATATTCATAATGTTCTTCATGACTCCTTTTTACATACCTACCATACTTTTTAATTGTATCTGAAAATGCTATATTGCTATCCTTTGTTTTTATACAGAAACTGCAAAGGTTAATAACACATAACCTTTTCCATATTCCCTGTACTCAAGCTGTTATTTCGTGGAAAAATCTGATTAAGAATAGAAAAGCCAGGGAAATGTCGGGAATTTCAATGTTAAAAAGTTTTCATACTTTCAGGTGACATGTTTGATCAGAATGAGACATTTGTCGCAACTGGCGTCATCCCAGTCCACGTTGCTAACAATGCAAATGTGGCTGTATTGGGAATGCAGATGAAGTATGACAGTTTGGTGGAGTTTATGATGTCTTCTACAAGTAATGGGGAAATCCCATGTGATAGAGAGGTAATATTAATGTCATATCAGTCCATATTTTGTTTTGTTGTTTTTTGAGTCACTTTAAAGTTTCGGTCCATGTTGCTAACAATTCGTTCGACTTCGCTTCTCAAAAGAGAGCTTCAACATGTATGTCTTCATGCTTTGTTTTGTACCAGAGTTAACATGAGCAAGTGCATTGTATCCAAAACTGTCTCCAATTAGAATGTACATCTAATTTAAGATATTTCTGTATAATTAAGCACTATTTTATTTATTTATATTTTAGGAGCTTATATGTTTCCTACTGGACTCCAATGGGTTTATTGTTGCAGTAGAACCAGACTCTGATATGATGTCTAAAGTTGGATACTCAGTTTCAGGTACACATAGTTGTCTATAAGGAGGTTAAGTTATAAATTCTTTCAAAATCATGCAGTTTTACACCATTCTGAGCACCTTTCAAGTGATTGTGGCCATTTTTGGGCCAAAGTTGTCAAAAGTGGATCCCACTGGGGTTTGTTATAAAGTGAATGTCCCTTGGCAAATCCTAGCTATGACCTCAACATGTACCTGAACATATAGAATTATGGCCCTCCATAGTATTTCCTTGCCTGCTTGAGTATAAAGGTATAGTGAAAATTGTAATTAGTTCCCTGGAAAAACCAATTGAAAGGGCGACAGTAATCCTATGGGGTTATAATATTTCATGTTTTTGACTCAAATCATTGAAGAATATCTCAATGTATTATTTAGAGAAGTGATTATGGATTATTTTGTTTAGTACTAATGTTGTCTGATTGTTTTTTTAGAATATGATGCCTCATTGAAGAATAGCATGTTGGAAAAGATGATTTTCTTTTACCATGATCTTAGAGACAAGCAGGCAATGTGTCCCATCATGAAAAATGATGAGTCAAGTGCCAGTCCTGGCAAACTTTTTAATGTGAGTATCCCTGGGGTTCACATTGTATTGTATTGTATTATTGCATTATACATAATGCAAAGATTTGTGTGTGGTGCCCCCCCCCCACATGGGTAGGGGAGGGATTTTGTCAAAATACAAATTTGGCTGTACAATTCCCTAACCTAGGAGGAAGAGAGTAAGTCGATTTCCCCACCCAAGAAGCAATAATAGCTGATAAAATATACCATAGGTGAAATTCTCCATCAAAATCACATCCTCTGTGTTTTGATATAAACTGATATTAAAAGGGAGATAGACACACCAAAAAGGAGTAGAAGGGAATTTGAGAATAATCTCAAATTTTTTTATATTTATAGTGATCTTAAAGGTCCATCAGACTTTATTTAGGGAAAACGTTCCAATTTGTAAGATTATCTGATTAGTTTTTAAAAAAGGGGACATTCCTTTTTTAAGTCTAGCTGCATCTTCAGTTCCCTAAAATTCCTTCCTTAAAATTCTTTCTGAAGGTTGTTACTATGTTGCTTTGTGGTCTTGAAATAAGTGTTTGACAGGGAACAGACTGTATTAATTAAGCAGTCAGTGATGGTTTGATATAGATGTGCATTATAAACATCTGTATACAATTATTGTAAATTCTAATTGTAAGTTTTATAAAATTAATAATTAAATTAAATCACACATTGATGCCTTTTTTATTAAAATTAGATAATTAACTTTCTTTCTTTGCTTTCAGCCAATAAAGTGGATATTCACTTCGCTTTCTTGGCTAATTCAGGAGACAGCTCTGTAAGTAGAGATAATTATACTATATATTTGAGCCAGGCCACAGGAAAAGGGCCTTATCACAGATTTTTTCAATATCCTTATTTTTTGTTTATCTTAAAAAGCATAGAGAGACCTTTCAAATGAGCCATGATTTATGTTTTAACAATTTTCCCTTGCAGATATAGTCCAAAATGTCGGATTTGAATTTACCACAATTCCCTCTTAATCTTGGGCACAATTTTGGCTCTGTAGAACAATTTTAATTTTTGTGATAAGACCGGTTTTCCTATGGCCAGGCTCATTTAATATGGATGTCAGATGAATATGTTCTCCCCCTTAATTTCAAGAGAATAACTTTTTGGCATAAAAATGCATCCAGTTGAGCAAGTCATCTGAAACTTCTTGTGGAGTTGTTCCATGCAGCCTAATTTTGATGTGCCAAAAACAAGTCAGATATCATGTAGAGAAAAAAGTGAACATCATGTGGATGTTAAAGCCAATGAGGGAAGAACATATTTATTTGACACCCTGTATAAATTGATATTGCTAATTTCATCACTGGTTGAAAGTCATGCTTGTAATAATATGACTTAACCATGATATAATAACTTGAATTAGGAGAATATGATTAACTATAATAAGACATACCATATTATGATTTACTATTACATGACATAACATCATATGAGATATATAATATGACTTGCTGCATAATATGGCCAACCATAATATGACATACCATAATACATGACTTGCCAAAATATGAAATACCATAACACTGGGATCTTCAACTTGTGTATGAGATATATGAAATTTCCAACAAATATTTTTGTCTACTTTAGGTTCATGATGGAGTTTAACATCTACAGTTGGTGGAACAGCCTGAGACATGCTGTCCAAGGTATGTACAATGTTCCTTTACGCTTTGTGACAGTTTCTATTCATCTCCATTTAATTATAAATAAGAAACAATTCATTGATTTAGTTAATATCCTAGCAGATTGAAAATCACTTCATATTCTACCTCTGCATAGCTGGTATAATGAAAACACAGAATTAAATCTTGTGCTAAGGGCTGATGTGAAAAGTACTTCCACCCTAGTAAGCTGGTATTTATATACTGTAAAACCTGACTAAGTGGAACACCTTTGGTATCTCTTAAAAGTGTTCCACTTGGAAGGTGTTCCACTTCTAAAGGTTTCATTAACATGAAGTCGGTTGATTTTGGGATTCTGAAAAGTGTTCCACTAACAGAGGTGTTCCACTTTACAGATTTCAGTGTGCTTTAATACAATAACCACAGTATACAGTTTTTTCACATTTAAACTCCCATCGGGCCATGAAACAGTTTATCAGCATTCAAACTGTAATAGATTGTTTTATTCATAAAACACCTGAAATCTGAGGGATACCTCCATCAATAGTTGACAACAAAAAAGTAAGTTAAAGGTTGTACTTACACACAAAAATCACTTCAAAACATATGAGACGTAAGACAGCATTGTTTTGTCTTATGTGGGCACACATTCTTCAATACAGTACGATTGATTGATTTATTTGATTGATATTAAATTCATATAGCTCTATTTCAGGCTCAATGTTTCATGTACAACAATCTAATGCACAACAACGAAATATTGTTTTTGTAAAACATGTAGAATTTATTTTATTTCATTATAATTAATGTAAAACAAGTTAATAATAATGATGATTAACACAGCGGACATTACATGTAAAATGTCAAAGGAATAACAAATAAATATAGAAAAAAGTAGTATAATGGTTTGGATTGGTACATTGATTATATCCACCTGTTAAAACTTGGTAATAAATTTATGTCCTGCACTTCTTAGATATGACTTTTACATCCTGCTATTATATCCTGAAAACCTTAGTTGGGGATGAATAGAGATTATCCCATATGAGGTTCAGGATATACACGGATATCCAAGTATGGGATAAATTATTATTTTGCACTTTCTACAGGTGAAGACATTCCAGATTTACCTGAAGGTTACAAGTGCCAGGAAGAGGGTGATACTTGGACCATTGACTTGTGTAGAAGATATTTGGATACTGGCAATACTATTGTTGGATGGAAAGAATGTACAAATCAGTCTCAGATTCCAGTCTTAAACCCCAATGCCTTCAGTTCTGGACCCGTTAAGAACACTATCAATCTAACTCAATCGTCTTGTAAAAAATTTAACATTTCCGATGGCTCCTTTTGCGAAACGTAAGTATTGCATAGATACCGGTATAGGAACAAGTTCATGTTGCGATTAAAACCCACATCTGGTACACATGCTGTCTTTAAATCCACATCTGGTACACATGCTGTCTTTAAATCCACATCTGGTACACATGCTGTCTTTAAATCCAATGTACATAACTCTAGAAAGGGATTTTGGTTACAATTAATAAATTGAAAAATTGTGGAGCTCAAAGATGTCCAGTTTACCATGTGATCAGCTATTTGTGAATCCAAGTGATGTGGTTTTTACTTGCAGCTTATTAATTCGTAGTACTTTTTCTTTTATTTCAGAAAGGCAGTTCTGGAATATCATGCACTTTCTTCAGCTTTGAGTGAAGCTTGTTCATTTGTATGTGGGCTGTCATTTTCCTTATTTTCCATATACTGTATATTTGTTTCCCATACCCATTTACAATGGCCAACTGCTATGACAAATTCAAATCATTTTTTGATAAAATCTTATCTTTCAACAAGCATCCTCCGATCACAGGGCTTCAAAATCCAGAATATATGCTTTCTTTTTACCCCCTGCGATAAGCAATTAGCATTTCCCCGATTAAAACTCGCAATCTAATTGGCTGTCGCAACACTGCAACAGAAATCATGTATAAGTCATTGCGCATAATTAGATCACGTGATTCAGTTAAATCAGGTGCTTCCAAATTGGTTATAGCAGGGGGGAAGAAGGAGGTACGGATTCTGGACACCTGCTTAGGAGGATGTCAACAAGAAATAGGTTGATGACACTGGAGGTTTGATAGTCCACATACCAATGAATCAACCTGGATCGTGATAAAACCTCAGACTAGAATCATACGCTATTATATTTTCCTATTTTCCAGCAAGTCACTCCAGATCTCATAAATTCACTTGGACTTATATTCCAAATGATACACACAAGGCTTGTGTGACCACTTCAGTACTTATGAATTATAATGCGTATGGTACATTGTACAATGGGCAACCCCTCCCCATGAAACCAGGTGCCCATGGTACCCTTACAAATTGTGATGATTGTTTACCGTGAGTTGTACATTTTGTGACGTGTGAATGATAGACGTTGTATCTTTTAGATTTCTTACTTCTGCAGTGTGTGCATATTTCTATGTGTGACTATAGACATAATCTTTAATAGATATGTATGTGTACACACTCTAAATTATATGGAACTATGCAAAAAATCGAATGCTTCATTCATTTTCGAGAAACTGGAAGGAATAAACATGACCAATAGGATATTGGCATGGATTGTTTCTCATTCCCATGGCTCTGTAACTCATTCCCACTTTATTTGGCATGATGTTCCCCAGCTAAGAATTTCAAAAAACAGACTGTGGAAATTATTATTTTCATTTTTTGTGGTGACATTGAGTATTGTTCATTAAGGAGTACTCATTATTGTTCACTATTTGTGGAAATATGGACCTATAATACCTATATTTATATGGGCAGATAATTGTATTGGCCTTGGGATAATCCTTCTATAGTACCGTCTATTGGATAATCTATCAATCCATATCCTTGTATGTATCTATTCAGCTAATCTGGTTCACATTGTTCTGAGTTCAGAAAATGCATGTTATTTAATTGGCCAATGAGAGAACGTCTATTTCAGCATGTGAAATGGAGTATTGTATACTATTAATGGAAATATGGAGAAATGGTCATTTTTCTTCTGTGTTATTAACATCCATCCTCGAGAAAGAGACCTTTTTATAAAACATGTGTAACTTTTGTCAAAATAAAGAAGTCTGGGTCAATGAGCCATGTTATAAAAAGAATATTCTATCTATGTTTTTTCTACATGAAACGTGTGTCTCCTATCAACTTTGAAACACTCGGTTGCCATGGAAATCCCATGAAAAGATCGCGAGTGTAGAGCTCCATTGAAAAACTAAAATATCAATGATAAAAGCAGGAATTTGACAATAAAAAACTTTGAAACACTCTGAATTCTTCTAAGTTACTTAACTTGAACTTCAGAAGTGTTACATGTAATTTTTATTGTTAGATTTGGACTTGACTTAAAACATAGAAATAGATTTCAGCTCCTTCAAACTCCTTCTCATGCATTGTTCTTGCTTTGTATATTGGCACATAGAGTCGTATAGACAAATCCAGTTAAACATGTCCTACCTTTGATATTATTTGCACAGCCTTATGGCAAGAATAGGATTATCTTATCGGCAATTCTGAAAAACTGTCTTATGATTTTCTTATGTCACCACCACAAGTGGTGACATGTTGTTATTATAAGCCTCCTTTTTTGTGGACGGTGTTTGGCAGTTGACAGGTCAGGGGCGGATCCAGGAACCAACAAGGAGGGCCATATTCAAATTCTGAAAAAAAACTTCCACGCTTGCGCTGGAAAAAATTTTGGGTTCCTAAAACCAAAAAGTGTGCCCAAATGTTGAAAATGTAAGGCCTAAAATTAAATGATAAGGCCTTAGAAGGCCCATTTTTGCCAAAAAGTCCATTAAAATGACCTTTAAGAAAGTTTTGTGCCCAAACTTTTTTTCTGGTCCCACCCAATTGCTGCCTTCAAAATATGGCATCATAAATCTAGCAAATGTTCCATTTGTTTTCTTGGTTCACTAAAAGGGGTCAGGAATAATTTATTAGAAAGAAAATTGAAATATAACGGGCTTTAAAGATTGTTGAACTAAGCGTGGCATAAATCACTGAGCACACAAAACTTGTTTTCTATCTTTGGACACTTTTTGTTGTCATTGATTCTAGAAATCCTTAAAAGACACAGATTTGCACCTTTTACATTTTTTGTATTGCTGTCTCCTCAGTTTGATTCTACAGTATATAAAATTTTCTTGAATATATGAACAGATTTTTTCAATTTTCGCGAGTTTTGAAAAATTGGCGAACTTAATTAATTTATTCATTTTGTGCATGGATTTGGATTCTACATATCAGTAGGAATTGTGCCACACACACAGAGAATCACATAAAACTGAGGGGACAGACAGGGTTTGTTGTGTTTTTCATTTTCATGCAGTGTTGAATTACGTGTATTTTTAAAACTTACTATTTTTATCTTTAAAGTAAGCATAGATCATTTGTTAAACTAGTCATTTTGAATCGAGAACGGTATTGATCTTATAAAATCATACAAATCTATACATAGAAATCAAACTTGTTAAAAAATAGGGTTGGATTAAGTTTTTACTGATAGGAAACAAAGCATTACAAAAAGTTATATAAAAATAAATGTTAAAAGATGGCATTGCTTTCTGCAGATGTTATGAGCCTAGTGGTTGTGAGCAAACTTGTTTAACCCCAGAAGATAAGTATTTTTGTGTGATGTCATAATACGTGTGATGTCACACGATTTGGTGTCCAATCACTGGTGATCATGGTGACCTCGAAAGAAATCGGCAGAAAATTCGGACACTTTGGAATTAAGTGTACTAGAATCTATTGTTTTCAAAAAGTGATTGATATCACCATGGTCAGAGTGGAATCTTTTGAATTGATGTCCATTTTTGTCACATTACTTGGGATCATGGGAAAAACTAAACTCTATCTTCAATATTCTGTTTTCATTTACAAATTGTGTATTTTTCATATATCTTGAAAGCCAATGATTTAGTGAATGTTTAATTTTCTTACATCTGATATTATTTATTAATTAATTAATTAATTAATTATTTCTTTTGGTTTTTCCCAAGACTTTACATCCCTTGAAAGATGGCACATTTCTAGATCTGGCACAACAAAAATTACTCTAATTTGTGTATTGAGGAAAAATAGGTTTAAGGGTTCACTAGGTTAGCCTTGAGAAAATGATTTTGAAATGGAATTAAAAATATAACTTCAGAAACAGGTTTAAGAATCAAAAATTCTGTTTGCATGAAGCTGTGGAATTTTCTCCAGACGTGCAGAAAAAAGTAATGCCATTAAGGGAGATTTTTTATTCATTTAGCCTATCATATCCTCCATGGAGTTCACAATGAAATATATTTTATTGTTTGCTTGCGACCATTGAACCATAGCACTGTATAGAAAGTGGTTTCACAACAACAATGAAAAATGAATCAGTCTAGCCACTTGCAAGCAAAGCATCACCTTTGAAAGGTCACCCTGAGTTAATGTTAATGTGTTTTGACATGATCTCATCCTGAATTAAAATAAAAATAGTGCAACTTGAATTCCCATGTTCAGCTTACATTCTTGTCAAATTGCAGCATGGAAAATCTTGCTGCTTTGTTACAAAGTCTTTGAGAATTTGCTCCGATTCATCAACCAGTTAAAACTGAATGATGAATCGGAGCAAATGTGACTCAGGCATTACTAAAGTATTGTTAATAGTCTCTAAATCTTTCCCTTTCCTGTTTTGTGTGATCTTGGAACTTGTCAGTTAGCTTATCAATTAGCTAGTGGACCCTTTACCTTACTTGCCTTGTGACTTGTGTGTTCTGGTATTGTTTCTTATATGCCTTATTCATGTATATTCTCATATTGTATCTTGTGTTTGCTATACTTCAGTCTATAATATGTTCACATATCTCTGTGTTCTCTTTTCAAATATAGGTGTAATGTATATGTATGTGTAAAAATTGACTTAAAGGGGAGAAACTGAAGTGGCAAAATGAGCATTGAAAATATTGAAATTATTTAAATGAATGAAATGGTTAAAATGATAAACTCATTGAAACAGTTGAAAAGGTTGAAATGCTATACTCATTGAAATGGACTTAATTATACAAGCATTGAAATAAATGAAATTGTTGAAATGATAAACTATTCAAAATGGACAAGATGATACAAACATTGAAACAATTGAAGAGATTGATAAGATAAACCTATTGAAATGGAAGAAATGATGCAAGGATCAATATAATTGAAATTCCAAGTTCATTGAAAAAATGATACAAGCATTGCAACCATTGAATTGATTGAAATGGTTGAAATAACAAACTCATTTGGAATTGTCAAAATGATACAAGCATTGAAGCAGTTGAAATGATTGAAATTCATTGAAATGGATATAATTGTACAAACATTGAAACAATTGGAATGACAAACTCATAAAAATGATACAATCATTGAAACAATCAGAATTATTGGTAAGATAAACCCATTGAAATGGAAGAAATGATGCAAGGATCAAAATAATTGAAATTAATGAAACGACAAACTCATTGAAATTGACAAAATGATACAAGCAATTTGAATTGATTAAAATGGTTGAAATGACAAAACCATTGGAATTGACAAAATTGAAACAGTTGAATTGATTGAAATGTCAAACTCATTGAAATGAACTTAATAATACAAGCATTGAAATGAATGAAATTGTGGAAATGACAAACTATTTAAAATGGACAAAATGATACAATCATTGAAACAATTGAAATGATTGATAAGATAAACCCATTGAAATGGAAGAAATGATGCAAGGATCAAAACAAATTAAATGGTTGACCATTTTGCAAGGATTGGAACAATTAAAACAGTTGAAATTAAAGAAATGGTAAACATATGTGTAAACCAGGGCTTTATGTGTTCTCTCTCTCAAAATTGTAATTTTCTTTTGTAGATGCACACTACTGATTTGAGTGCATGAATGTCTTATGAATTTTTCATGTACTTTGATATGTTTATTCGTGAAGGCTTTGCTGTATGCCTGTTATAATACCTATAATAGTGTTTTATTTTAAAACTTCAAAGTTTAGCAAAAATATTTTGATACAGTTGTATTTCAGAACACATTGGTCAATTAATCTGGTGATGGGAGAAAAATGTTACGTGAAATCATGGAGACTTGGAGAAAATGAAGAATCAAATTATCTGAGATAGTTAGTGACTTTAACAATGTGGTATTAGACATCTCTGCCCTTTGAACACAATATTCTGTATCTGTAAAATATACAGTATCTTCTTATTGACTAAAAATCATTACACGTGTCTTCTTGAAAAATTTAATGCATTATAGGATTTAGTTGTTGATCTTTTGGTGTGAAAAGGATCATGTCAAAGACTGTCAAACACACTGGTCGAAAGTGACAGTTTTAGATAAATGGACATTCACACATTAACCAATAGGGAAGTTAAGCTTTATCTCATCAAAGTGTAAAGAAAATAGTACCTATTACTGTAGATCCCTGGAAAAAATATTTGAGATGTGGAAAGAAATCCCCTGGGGTCATATTATTATTACCAGATCCCCCATTCTGATACTTCTAGCATTTTTGAGAAGAAATGAGTAGTCATGGTTTATCATTATGCAGATCTCCAGATAATGATGACCTTCTACAGATTTGTCTTTACACAGAGATGGGTCCATTTTAGAATTCTCGGGTATTTCCTCCCCTTTATTCAACTAATATTTGAAAAAGGTGAATATTATACAATTAAACATTTTTTCTTTTGTTATCTTATTTAGGAACACCTTTCTTTGACACTTGTAAGAAGTATGGATACAGTGTAATTCAATTCTTAATGTCAGTGGATTATAGAATGTTTTAATGATATGTTTGAAGTTCAAAATAGAGGACAGAGAGGACACATGCGTGAAATGAGTCTCTGTGCAGAACTGGCAACTCCAATGATGACATGTCATTCTGTTCAGTGATCTCCCCAGCATTAAAGCAAGTGGGTGCAGCACCCATCTGAGATTTTGAAAATAGCCTTGCGCCCACCTGAAAATCCATTTGCCCCCACTTGAAAATGAGAAAAATCAAGAAAAATTGGCATAGTTTGACTAATTTTTGTCTGAATTGTGAAGATGAGAATTTGGCACCCACCTGAGAAAAGATCCTGGGGTGATCACTGCTATTAGTATTGCTAATTCATTGCTTTTTGTTAAATGGATGACAGAAAATATGCAAAAGTAATGAATTTTATTGAAGATGAGAACATAGCCTAGAATTACTATACATGGTGTCAAAAAAACAATGACTCCACCTCTACAGCAAAAACTACTAAATGAAATATGTGTCATATATCATCTGAAAGATATTTTTAGTCTGATGTAACTATGTAAGCCCTAGCCAGTAGTACAATATGTAGTTTGTCCTCTAGAGGGAGTACTATTTTTTGACACCCTGTATATCAGGCTTTTTTGTCATGTTGATACATTGACATGAAGTTGACACTCTAGATTGTCTCTATAATTGATATATAAATGCAAGAAAATTAAACTGAGAAATTATGTAGAAAATCTGGATGATATATAAAATTATGATGATGTATCAAAAGAGCTAGTTCAAGAAATCAATTGTACATTCTCAATATTTATTTCTATCTTAAAAATTAATTTTAGCCAATAAACCTAAAAAAGCTAGTTCAAGAAGTCACATAAAAAGCCATAAAAAGAACTAATCATGTCTCAATTGTACATTTTCAATATTTATATCTATCTCAAAAAATCAAACACACATGCTTAAATTGAAAATGAAATTGTTATTATTATTCACAATATTGTCATGGTAATGCTTTGATTGATGACATGATTGATTATTTTGCCTCTTGTCTTTACATGATTGTCACAGATCGTGGGTTGCACACCGTGTACAAAACACCAATCTGATGCTGGTAGTCTTGGATGCGACGTGTACTTGTGATGACACTAAAACTGAAAAATCAGAGCCAGTTCCAGAAGAAGATATCCTTTACTAAATACTGAAAGGGGAGCAGGGTCTGTAATTCACTCTACGCAGAGTTTGCTAAACGAAAACAAGCGATGTGGATATCATGTGTGCACATTGTTTTTCGTATAGCACAGTCTGCATAGGGTTTAATTCTGCTCCCACTTTACCTTGGATATATTTTTTAAAAAGTGCTATATTTGTCATGTGCTGATGAAATACAAAAGTCCAATCCATATAAATGATGTATGAATGTTATATATTGATGTTAACCAAGCTGGTGTGACATAAGTATCTCTCTTTCACGATTATATAAAGTTTTAAACAGGAAACATGGTTTCAGTACCTATCTAGTACTTCCTAGGGGGTGGGACATGAATACTTCAAAAATCATTCTTTCCCGACCCCTCCTAGAAAGCCTGGCCCCTCTGTACTAGTTTTTCTTTTTACTAAAATGAAAAGAATTATGCAATAAAAAATAATAAGCTAATAAAAAGACAGTACATGTACTTCCTTAACATTTATCACTTGGCGATGATGAGGAAGTTTGCATGACTCTAAAAATGAAACAGGCAGAGCACAGGAAGCGACCAGATGTCTGTAAAAACAAAGACCCTCAGGTAGGTTTAATTAAAATTCATTAAAGTCCAATAAGCCATTCTGTGCCATAATATCCTGCCCTCACTTTGCCACCTAAATGGGGAAACTAGGATATATTGGCAAGATTCATAGGTTGTACTGGTATACCCTTTGGAATTGTGCGATTTCTCTTTTTAAAGATACGAGTAGCTTCATCTATACTCTGAGTTAGCGATGATCCTTTTGATCTAGCCTACCCAATCAGAGTAAGGTCTTTGGAACAGCCTTCTGTTCCATTAAAGGCCAACTCAGCTAATTCTGAGAGGCTGTATTTAATACTAGCCTCTATATTCCTTGGTTTTCTAAGTACTGATGTTTCCAACAGAATATAATAACCTTTTCGCAAATTTTTATAAACTTCTCAGAATTTTTAGTCAACCTTGACACACACTATGACATCCGGAATCTGGCCAATGTACCCTAGGTTCTTTGGTGAAGCAAATAGATTGCAGGGTTTATTGGAAAGGCATTTTGTGCGGTTATTAAGGATTCAGTGTGAAAAACTACAGTTTGAATCTCAGTTGACTTATTTTGGATTGTATTTTTTTGCGAAAATCAGCTATCAGTAGACGACGGTGCAAATCTAAGTGGAAAATATAATTACGGAAACCAAACTTTTGCTTATCTCAAATACTCACTATAATATGTAGTAAAGCTGGCCTGTTGTAATTTTGATACCATGTGCCATGTGAATTTTGGGGCCAGGCTTTAAAAAAAGTCAGAAAAGCCTCAACATACAAAATATCGCACATTTGTTAGCTAAGTCACAATCAGGAATATTCAAAACTCTCTGAATAAGTTTCTGAATTCTGAACAATTAGAATAAGGAGAAATAACAACAATCCAAAATAACCTTGAGATTCTACCTGTAGGCTCAAATTAGTACATTGTAAAATATCTACACCAAAATGTAACTGATGGGTTTTGCTCAGTTTGCTTTAAATTCAGATCCCTTGTTTATATAACTCATAAGTGAGACAATATTTTACAATGTGTTGTATGTTGTAGCTACTGCTATTGTAAAGTGTTTCCGTAACTTAACTAACTCCTATTGTAAACCTTTACTTATAATAACTTATTGCTATCTGTTTTCATAAACTGTTTTTATGACTTAACTTAATGCTATTGTAAACTGTTTTCCTTAACTTGTCTATATTGTCAACTGTTGAATATAGTCGTAAATGCTATTGTCTTCTTTGACTATAACTATAAGAACTTTGCAAATTGTTTTCTATTGTATGTTTATTGTATGTTTGCTATTGTATCTAGTCAGTGGATTACTTAGAGGTGTGTCTTCACTTTAAATGACACTGTTTAACTCACAAGGACTGACATATAGATGGCAGTGAGGGAAGATATTCATATTCAAATCCCCATGGCAGTGTTTCAAAATAGACACTGTGGGGGCCAAATGAAAAATGTCCAAAATCTGGAGAAAATATTCAGAATTTGTATGTGATGACATATTGTGGGTGGTGTTCATGGTTGGTATTCAGTGTACAGTGGTCATTCTTTGGCATCTGTAACAAATGGCAAGCGGTGAAATTTAGTGTGTTAATAATGCCTTGTTTTCACTATTGACGTGTTCAATATTTGTAAAAATGTTTCAGAGATCATGAAATATTTGAAGAAATAGTTTTGAATTAAAAGTTGGATGGAAGCCTGCCACAGTGGTATGTTGAAGATGAGCACTGCCATGGAGTATGATAAATAGAAAGAACATTACAGCCATCTTTATGTCAACCTATTGCATATGGTTACCACTTTCATAATCATGAACACCATTGCCAATTACTATTGGCCAGAAGTCATAAACGTCTTAAAAATCTTGATCAACATTTGCATGTATTTCGATCTGCAATACTTTTTTACACTGGAATTTAACACACATCTAACACATCTTTTAACTTTCGAAATATCTGCACATGTTTATTCATGAGCAAAACATTCACATTTTGCTATGGTTTCTATTTCCACTTTATTATGACGTCACTTGTGACTTATTGTTACTGTAGATTTTTACATATTTGTAACCAATTACAATAACTTACCAGGAGGCGACATTTTGTTAATGCCTTTTTATATGTACTTTAGATTGGCACATATCTGTATTTATATACCTCATCTGCAAACCTCTTATCTATTTGAATATCATTTTGGATGTTTATAGGTCTCACATTTCAAGAAGTCCCTATGCACATCAAATTTAAGACAATTTTACATTTCTATTATGGTACCACAAAGAAGTGGCAACATATTTCAACAGCCAACTGTAACATTTGTAACAGATGCATTTGGCAACTGTGACAAATTGTTACCCTTTTTATTAACCATTTGCAATAACTTACCAGGAGGCGACATTTTGTTAATGCCTTTTTATATGTACTTTAGATTGGCACATATCTGTATTTATATACCTCATCTGCAAACCTCTTTACTATTTGAATATCATTTTGGATGTTTATAGGTCTCACATTTCAAGAAGTCCCTATGCACATCAAATTTAAGACAATTTTACATTTCTATTATGGTACCACCAAGAAGTGGCAACATATTTCAACAGCCAACTGTAACATTTGTAACAGATGCATTTGGCAACTGTGACAAATTGTTACTCTTTTTAACCGTTTGCAATAACTAACCAGTTGGTATTACTTTGCTTGCTTAAAAATTTTTAAATAATATAAAAATACAAATGAATTTAAAGGGGCAACAAGGACTGTAGAGACAAAATTCGATTTTTTTTATTTTTTTCTGAGCTATCAGGTCAATATTTGGCTTAACACCTTCTTTGTCATACCTATTTTCTTAAAATGTAATTTATAAACTATCAATTTCAGCATTAAGAAGTGTAAATTAAGTTCAAAGCTTCTATAAAGGAAGTCCCACTTATAGATTTTTAAGATCCACCACATTTCAAGAGGAATATCAGCTGAAATAATGTTCATCCAGGGGGTTTCTTTGTAGATAATGAAAATATATGTTAGTCTTGATGAAATATCCAAACTCAAATATATTTTGACACTGGTCGATGATCGTTGAATGGTCCTCATGCACTAATTGTTGCACCTTTAACTAAGACTGGTGCCTCATCTAAATCTTAATATGTAACTATTTATAAACTTTTATTTTCAGGAAAAAGACAAATGTTCAGCATCTCTGTCCACATCATCTCTAGTGACTTTATTCATCTTAACAACATTAACAGTGCTTCATAATTTACCAATCAATCGGTAGCAGACCGCTTTCCCATATTTGGTATTAACGTGATAGCGAATCGCAGTGATACAACAAGGCTTTAATTGGCTGAAGGCTGTACTTCAGGAGATGGCCTGAGAGGGTTCTCCTGAAGGAAACCTTGGGAGAACATACAGATAGTAACTCCTATTCTCACTACAAGGAGAGTATGCCACTTTGCTACAAAGGTTTGGATTTGGAATTTGGAAAGTCCAAAGCTCTTTTGGAGCCCTATATGTGCAAATGGACTGACAGTGACTGTTCCTATTGTTTCATCATAGAAAGAACTTTGTGTTGCCCTGGTTATTAAAATCCATAAACTGGTTCTTAAAATCCATAAACTGGTTATTAAAATGCACAATAGCGATATATGATTAAAATTCCACAAAACCCACTGGAAGCAGAATCAAAAAGAAGAAACAACTCACGTCACTTGATACGAGTAGTACATATGTCTTGGAGATCAAACATTTCTAAAGCGATTTTATTGGAATATTTTCCAAAATATAAGTGTCCATTGCAAGGCAGTAAAGGCTTGTGGAATAAATTTATTGATAACAAGTGCCTGATGTTCTGATATTACAATTTTGGAGTCAGTCAGGTAGTAGATACAGTTATGTGTAATGTGTGTATATTTTGAGAAATATGTAAATATTTAACATATTACTGTAATTCTCATTTCTTTATACTTATGATGAATATGCTGGCTTATACTTACATGATTTATACTTAAGCTTTGTTCTGTTATAAAGTTGTTTTTTGGTGCATAGAAGTGAATAATCAGCGAATGTAGCATCACACCTAAGATACTTAGCCATGAGAGCGAATGGATGTGACCTTGTATTACAAAAGAATTCTTAAAATGAGCAAATGAAACAAGCTCAATTTACAGTATTTTTTCTTGCAACACAAAACTTAAAAAGTGGAGCATATTTAGTATTCACTTGTCCTATATGCATTTTGTGCAATACTTTCTTAATTATCAACTTCTACTTGAATTAGTGCAATACACGCTGTTTTATACAATTTAGTATTATTAGTTAAATTATAAGCAATACTTAATTATTCCATTAAAAGATTTTTTGCAATGTAAGTTATATTGTGAATCTTAGATTTAGAGTAGAATATAACACACGATGGTGAAACTTCTCAATACTTGCTTTTAAATATTTGTACAATATACATCCTGTGAATTGGGATAGAAGGTAATTGATATTTCATAAACCAAAAATTAAAGAGGACATCAGAAATTAAATTATATCCATTTCAAAAGTAGGTATTGAGATTTTGTTCCTTTTGGAACCATCATGTAATTAAGGTTGATGCTAGTCATATAGTACTCTGTATATAATCTATATATTTAGCATAGGCAAAGGTCGATAGAAAAGATAATACTGGATTCTTTTTGTGCTGCCATCTTTATATCGGCCCAGAACCTATGATATTTAGTGTGTCATTATTTTCAGAATGACACTAAAAATAAGTTATACCATTATTATCTTTTTATTAAAGCAATTAGAAGGGATAGAGAATTTAAAATATTGGAAGCAGTTTTAGGATGCAGAAATGAATGTTCTTATAGCTAATGATTATCCGTTTACGATCAGAATTGTTGGAAAAAGCATGATATGGAATGATGTCAACCTCCGATCACAGGGCTTCAAAATCCAGAATATATTCTTTCTTTTTACCCCCTGCGATAAGCAGTTAGCAGTTCCCCGATTAAGAACTCGCAATCTGATTGGCTGTCACAACACTGCGACAGAAATCATGTATAAGTCATTGCGCATAATAAGATCACGTGATTCAGTTTAATCGGGCGCTTCCAAATTGGTTATAGCAGGGGGGAAGAAGGAAGTACGGATTCTGGACACCTGCTTAGGAGGATGGAATGATGTGTGCGCAAAAAATATAGCAATATCCTGACAATTTTTTCAAAATGTAGTGTCAATTCATCTCTATCCCATCTACTCACTTTAATTGAGAAGATAATGAGGCACGTTGTAAATAGATGTATGTGTACACATATTACATACTTATGAATGTATTTGAAGGCAGAATATGCGCTGCCAGTTTTAAATTTCATTCCATTGTTTTTTATATATGGTTGTATATAATATATATATAAAATACATGATTATTAATGTATATTTGGATTACAGTATCTTTATGGCGTGCTATTATATTTAAGGATATTTGTTATGGGTTATTTAATTAGAAGCTAATGTCATGGAGATCGTGTTTTCAATTGCAAATTTTAGTAAAATAGAGGGGAATCAGCAAGAAATAAAGTATACAGGCATGTAGTGCAATTTCTAAATTATATAGAAATGCTATAACAACAGATGCTTAATTCAAAATTTAGAGGAAATGTGTGGAGAAGTAGATGTGTGATTAATATCACCAGCCATTTTCATATGGGTCAGGCTGGAGCCAAGGCAGTCTGGATAATGTGCAGTTTGGTGCAGATGAATTGAAACTGGAGAATTTCAATAGAAATAAACAATGGATGTTTACCTTGGTGGTTTTGAAAACCGCTTTTGCTGAATGTAGTTTTCATGGCTATGTCCATGAGGCTCTGTATATTTGTTTGTGTGATTGTTATAGGAGTATATACTGTGTTTAAAGTACGTTATGTATGTTACATTGGATTTTTATTTTCATATATGTTGTAGAATTAATTTCAACATTTTACTATTGTCTGATGGTGAAGTAATATATTCATATATGTTAATATATATATCAGTATACATTGCAGTCTAGAACACAGCTCTGAGAAAATTAAGTCAATTTGATATATGAGTCTGAAGTGAAAATAAATTGAGTATAGTACAGTTTTTTGAGGCTGTGACCAGACTGTATATAATGTATAGGGTGAGCCATTGATCATTTTATGTACACAGGCAAATTCAAGAGTATTCTGTTTATTCAGAGTTCCAAAGTTAGTGTTACATTTTTTTGTCAACCTGTATAACCCTTTAGGTTCTGACTTCTGTACATTTACTCTATAAATATGAAATAATGAACTTACATGTATTATGAATCAATCAATTTACTACTTGATTATGAAGAAACATTTCGTAGATTGCATCAAGATATATGATATTTATTTCCAAGACCACTTGATATTAAAACTTTGCATAAAGTAACAAAAGAATCATGAAAAGGACATTGGTACTTTAATTAATTTGGAAAGTTTTATTCGAGCAATATTTACACACAAACTAATTATACAGGAAGTGAATTACAATCCACAACTGATTTGCCATCTCTGTGAGTCTTTGTCCCCATTGGAATGTTTATGAAATTCTAGTGTGTAAAATTCATTCCTTTAAAGGCCCCGTGTATAGTTTGAAAACATAGTCTAATCATTCAAACAACACTTTTTATGATGTGAAAGACATTTTTGAAAAGATGTAACTTTTTAAAAAAAGTTATTCATCTTAGAATTGTTGAATTTCCTACCATTTTAGAAACAGATCATGAAACACAACACTTCACACCTATCTAGATTGAAAATTAGTTTTTATCATGTTTTAAATTTTACCATTAGATTCAATAAGAACTAACATTTTTAAATGCTCTTCTCTAAACCACTTTTCTGCGCTCATGAGATAATTTCTTGCTAATTTTTCAACCAATTTTCTAATTATTGCTTGAACAAAATAAGTCCTTCAAAATCTACTTTTTGAAATTAAATTGAAAAGTTCCACATAACACATTTTGATGACATTAGGCAATAGTATAAAATAAGGCAAAATGGTTTAAACTTTATATAGGGCCTTTTATTGTAATGTACAATGTTTCATTACTTTGAAACAATCATTATATTTGGTTAGGGGTCGGCTCAACAAATCATCATCCATCAAAAAACATATTTTGTCTTGATTTACTGTTGATTTGCATTTGAAAATTATCTTCAAAAAAACATTCCAAAAACTTGTACAATTATGTTTTTTGATGGAAGTTGATGTTTTGACCTGATCCCTTCAGTTGCAGAGCAACATAGATAATGTTAAAATTACATGCTCAATAAATAAAATATATATTAAGAATATGAATCTTCTGTTTTTGTTCCATAAAAGTTCATATATAAACACCAGGCCAACTTAAGGCAGGTATCATAAAACTCATGTCTGTACCTCAATTTTTTCATATACCCTGATCAATATAGCAAGAACCTCATTTCAAAGGGCAACATAGTGAAATCTTGGCCCACTATGGTGCCCTCTGATATGAGGTTATTACCTTTTTTGTACTTTTATAACCTATCGAAAACTAAGTACAAACTCTGATAATTACTACTATGGCCCTACTACATGGAACCCAAAACTTTCTTAACCATTGTAAAGTTTTGGATCTACATGATTAAAACTGACACATCAAAATATGAGAGGTTGAAATTGACGCATCAAAATATGAGACACTGAAAGTAACATCTCAAAATATAAGAGGTTTAAACTGAAAATTCAAGAGATGAGGACTTGAACAGACACCTCAAAATATGAGAGGTTGAAACTGACATCTCAAAATATGAGAGGTTGAACTTTCGACAGAAAATTCATGGAAGAATACATGTGAATAATAATTGGTTCAAGAATCGAAAGCAATGCCTTTTTGATTCTCTCTAAAGGTAATGAAGTCTTGTAAAAGTCTAGGCAATGGCAATCTATCGACTAATTTTTCTAAGGAGCTGTTGGGTGATGACTTGCTGCGGTAATTTATTAATGTCCTCCGTACAGTTATACGGCAGCAACTACGTAACGACTTTGGGGTCTGGAGAAGTTCTTTAGTTGAATTGACCACACTATTGAGTTGAGATAATGGCGTGATTGAGCCATGTGCTCCTACGTAAACGCCATCTATCATCCTCGCGATCCATGACTCATAGGAAACGTAACAGCATTCAAGAAGCACTTTAATGTTATCAAAGTCACCCTTTGCAAGTAGGGAATACAGAAGGTGGTTACAATAATGATCCTTATAGTAATTATAACCACTGTCTTTATCAATACGACAGCCTGCGATGAGTAACAGTGGTACAATATCAAGCTGCTGATACGTCACTGCGTAATCTAACGGAGTTAAGAGCTCTTCATTTACACAATCGAGACTGCAGCCAGCTGAAAAACACACAGAAATACAAAGTTATTCAAATCATCATTACAGGTTTGAAATGATTTATGGCAGTCATTTAGCTACTGATTCAGCCTGGTAAATACATTGACTGATGATTAACACGCAGACATATCAATTTTTTGTACCTTCTTTGCATGGACATAATTGGTTCCCACCCTCAATCACTACATACTTTGGAGTTCCGAAGCTTGGTGAAGTAAACATCGATGATTGTAAGCACTTATTAGAATATCACAATTATGTTTAACCTTTACCTTTAATGAGAAGCTGCACTGCCGCAGGACAACCTGCAAATACTGCTTCAAATAATGGGGTTGCTTCTTCACAGTCTTTGTGATCCACCTCAGCCCCAGCTTCAAGTAAACAGTCCACTACATCTGAATAACAAAGAAAATTATTTTTTAGATAAGCAATTAATACAAGGCATTAACACACAAAATGTCACCACCTGCCATTTGTTACAGACACTGAATGCCAAACACCAACTGCTGAACACTGCATAAAAATATGTAACCTTTTGGTAGTGACATAACAATATGCCTCCTTCAATATAAGTGGGTTTCTGTGACTTCAAATATAGATCCATTGCTAGATGAAAAAATTATCTTATAGTAAACCAGTATATTGAGTAAAACACATAAAAAAATATATTTTAAGGATGTATGGAACCTATGTATCACATCACCCCATAGTTCTACCCCTAAAGATAGATTATACTAGTATACTAAATACCCCCTCTCCCCACCAGTGAGCTTACCAGACTGTTTCGTCCTACATGCAAGATGAAGTGCAGTCTTTCCATACTCATTAGTGCTGTTAACGTCCACCCCATGGCTTATCAACAACCTTATTTTGGCCAACGAATCCTGAAATATATTCATGTTTCATATAGAGTACATACACATATATTTGTATCGCCTACTTTGATGTGTTGTAGAAAAATATCGCCTACTTTGATGTGTTGTAGAAAAATATCAGCTACTGTAAATTACCTTTCCTTTAAAGGTTTTGTGTAGTTTGTTCTGATAACCATGAAGTTCTTTTGGAACTTTTTTGAGAATAAACTGTCTGCCTATTGTTAATATTGTGTTAAGAAAAAAAGAGACACAATGGTTAGACACAAAACTGATCTATCAATTGAGATAAGAAAACCAATTATAAATCTGATTTGTGTTTTGTGTTACCGAACTATTACTGTTGAATAAATTTTAAAAATTAAAAACTTCTTACATGTTTTGATCTGACTGCACAATGCAATGGAGTAGATTCATTGTCTGTTCCATTATGCAGATTCACCTCCTGCCCAGCCTCAATCAGCAACAACCCTATAGCTGTACAGTTAGGGTGCTCTGGCCCTGGAAAGATAAAGTTATGGAAAGTGAATACGCATGATGAGAATTTAAATGTGAATTTCATTATTACAATTCCCAATTCTTAATTAATTAAATGAAATGGGTAATTCATTTTCCGATAAATTATTAAATGAAACACAGAATAAATTGCCTTGTGAGAGTATTTTCTTTTCTGCCCTTTTCCAAATACTTTGTGAATTTATTTAAAACTAACTTTTAGAGGTCACACATATCTTTTATTAGCCACAATTCATACCAATGCATAGCATTCATCCTCGCATGTTTTTTGCCAAAAAATTAAGAAAATCGTTTCATAAATAAGCGAGAAATAAACTCATCAGTGCATTAAAATGGTTCCGAGAAAAATGCATTTCAAAATTTTAGTTCTCATAGAAACAAATGGTACAATCATATCTAAAACATAATATATTCTTCCTTTTAACCTGGTTAGACAATCAACATTGGTTTATTATTGAAGTCTAGCATATTTAGAAAAGATTGACATCGAAAAAAAAATTTCAATTTTGTTCAAAAAGTTTTTGCCACCTTAGTCAGTGTAGTGACATCACTAATGTTGCAAAATATTTTTGATATGCTAAAACATTGAAATGGCCCATTAAATATGGCATTTTATTATTGAAATAGTGTGTCCTTTGTTCAAATCTTTGCATTGGTGTTAAAAAGATAATCTTTATTGAAATGCATTAAGAAATATTTGATGATTAAAAAAATTCAACTTTTTTTGAAAAATGGTGGGAAATTCAAATATTTGAGAAATGAAATGCTCACAACGTTTTTTTCAAAAATCTCTAAAATAACTTTTTAAGTCATGACAAAAAGTAAATGAATGATATAAAAATATTTTCAAACTTAAGACAGGGACTTTAATGCAATTTTTCAGTTTTAGAATCAATTCAAAGTTAGCTGAAGGGATAAAGAAGAGTTGAGTAACTTTGGAAAATAAAAATGTAATATGTTATTTTTGTTCTCATCATTTCATTCATCAAAAACAGAATATAGAATCTGAAATCAATTGGTGTGAATAAAAAGGTTCAAAAAGAAGGTTTTCAAGCTAAGGAAGACCTCGATAGATATCCCTCCTATCATTATGTAGCAGAAAATTTTGATTACTGTATTCATGTATTTACATAGAACTTCTTCAGATTCAAGGTATTGTATCGTTTCCTCATATTCCTTACCAAACCAAAACAAACCTTACCAAAATGCACAACTTAAAGTTCCCCTGGATAAAAAATGGTTTTATAGTTACACAAAGAGGGTTTTTGATCTTGTCTTTATAATATAATAAAGAAGTTCATAATAGAGCTTTACGCACTCTTTAGAAATTATGAATAAAGAAAAAGGTCTATATAACCCAATGCTGATCGAAGGAAGTTGCCTCAATATCAAATGCAAGTACCAGGATGTAATATTACTATGAGGGATTCCCCTTTATTGCAATCTACAGTATTCAGTTTCATTTTGGAAAAAACTTGGATGTTTCATACCAGTGGCAGAATCTGATTAAAGTTTAGCCAGGCAAAACACTTTTGACAAATAGTTTGTGTATCATAAAACTGTTTGACAGTAGATTCGAGTCTGAGAGCTGTATTATAAACATAACTACTAATGGCAGTAAATGTTTTGCCCATTCTAACTGGTCCATTTCCTCCAGATAATAGAACAAAACTATCCTCAGAGGATGTTAGACGCTTAGGAAATTTTGTACATTTCATCTCAGAACAAGTTGATGTGAAGAACAGATACACGCCAGAAGAACTCAATGAACATACATCATTCATTGAAGACAATATGCAAACTCTAGTAGGAAAAGTTGGTGAATACGACCCTATGTTAACTTCCAAGGAACTTCTCAGACGTGGAAGTTCATACAGTAGAGCAAAAATTCTGTGGCCAGATGAGTATGATTTCATTCCAATCCTGGCGAAATTTAACAAAAATACAATAGAGGTGGAGGAGGTGAAAGAAAGATGTTATAATGGTGGCAAGGGGGATGGCTATATCAAAGTGAAGCCTGGAACTTTACCAATACAACAGATCCAAAAATACACAGGAAATTGTCCATCAAGTGGCATCTTTAACAATCTAGGATTAACCACACAACAGAAGTGTCTATGTAGCAGGAAAATCTGTGATGAACTAAGGAAAGCCGTATTATGGTCGCTAGAGCACATGGATACCAACTTAACATTTATTGGAGAAAAGGACCATAAAGATCCTAGTGATAGTTCTTCCTACAAGAGAGGAGACATTAGTATTCACAAGAAGTTACATGGCCCAAGTTTCTGGTTGAGGGTTGGTGGGCCTCTGTGCACAACTGATATAGACCTCTGTTTCGCTATAGAGGGCACACCACATAAGCAACTTGGGTGATGTATCATGGTGGATAATGTTTTTTTCCGTAACATGTGCAGTTGTGGCTACAACTTTTCAGAACACTGGAAGAAATTTCTGATTAGTCCACCCGTTAACACGAAATATGTGTTATCTGAATCTCATCGAGAAATATTCCTATCGCTAAAGTATATCTCGCATCTTGCAGCAGAAATGTCAGGGCAGACATTCCCATATTCTCCTGACATTCTCTCCAGCTACGATATTAACATGGTGTTGCTCCAACACCAACAGACATGCCTTGCGCTCAATGTGGGAGAATGTTTTGTTGATACTGTACGGCGGATCGTCAAACCTGATCAGAAATCTGATGATAACGATGATGATATGAATCATTTAGAAATATCCTTTAACCCATCACACTACAACATACAACGCCATGATGCATTCTTCCCAAAGAGACATATACATCTAAAGAAACTCCACAGTATTGTGGCAATTGCATGGTTTACGCTTGAAGTTCGTCAAACAGAAGATGCTACATGGATACACCGACTACTCAGTCTTACCCAGGAGCCCCACAATCATACCTGGTGGGACCGGAAGACACAAGTTAACGATACATTGGTACTCAGACTGTTAACTAAGAGTGACAGTGGTCAGTTGAGAGGTTTACTGAAGGCAATCAGGAAGGTTGACAGTTGGTTCAAAAAGGCTGATGGGTGTAGAGGTCCATTTACATTGAAATGGCACCACAAAGATGACAGTACAAAGGCCTCGTTAACTTTGAAGTATCACTGAATTTTCTCATTTTTATAAATCAAACATATTTATTCATGGGCAACTAATTATCTAGGTATATTTATGCACCATTTAAATTCTAATGTAATGTAGAATTGAAATGTACTTATATTGTTTATTGTTTTTGGTATTAATGATACAACAATGTACACTATAATATGTTGTATTTGTGTCGAAAGCATGAGATTCAATTCAATCAAGCTTCTTCAATGTATTACAAGAATATTACAATGCTAAGAGATATTGTGCAAAACATGCACACTTTTCAAATTGAATTTGATACATACTTTGTTACCATGGTAATATAGTTATTATCTAAAATCTGAACACATATATAAGTGCTAACTTTGTAAAGGACAAGGTGCAATTATTGGCAAATATCGATTCAGGTCATACTTAAAATTAAAAGATTGTACATTTTTTCATCAATTTTTCCCTACAAAATGGCTATAGAAAAATGCTCCAAAAACAACTTTTACACTTATCAAATATCATACAAGTTTGTAAAACCAAAGATTATACTATTATATTTCATGATGTAGTAACATATTTGGATAAGATGCAGGGATGCGTAGGATGTAAATGGATTTTGACAGACACAAAAATACTTCCTGGTTTGGAATCTATGCCTCTACACAGCAGGAGATCCAAGCCGCAATGTGCTTCGGTTAGGCAGATTTATACTCCCGCCGGGACGTCATAAAGTCCGATATTTCGATTTCGTCGGGAGAGCCCAAAATCACCCAGCCATTTTTGATTGTTCCTAACTTTGTGAATTTCTGATGAAATTGAATTCTGTTTTCAGTTTTGAGTTATATAACTGTAGAACTTAGTTCATTAGAGTGGATATGACTCAAAGCTCGTGAAAATGCAGCTGAAATGCTTTCGAAACAATTCGAATTTTTTTCAAGCGATTTTTTAAGAAATTAAAACTTTTTCGAAAAAACTGGCAGAAAACCATCTCCCCCTGCTCTGAGTTTCAAAGTGGTATTTAAATGATACAAGACGATATGGGAAACCTTTTTATCGACTTACCTTTTGTGAAGAATACGTGCAACTCGCTGAAAATTACTTTCAAACCTAGATCATTATTTTCGATTTTCTCGTTTCACTATTGAAGAGCGATCGTCAGTTTCCGGTTCCGCCGTGAGTTAGGGCAAACTTTTTGCTTTTGAACATTTAAACCTCTTTAGGTTGAATATAATAGTGCTAATGCAGAGTTACTATGTTTTATATGTATGCTGTATATCTGACTACCCATGGACCTCATAATGAGTAAGTACAAACGCTTAATTGAGCCTAGGATCGACGAAACATGTCAGTTAATTGACCTAGATTTTTCAAAATGGATGCCATATTTTCGATTCCAAATCGGTAAAAACTATGTTTTGATATCTACAATAACATATTTTCAGGGTAATAAATTGAGCTATTACAATACACCTGGACTTCTAACGACATATTGTGGACATCAGAAGGTACAGATCGTTTAGAATTGCAGCATTAACACATTGAACAGGTTGGTTATTTCCTTGTATTTCATTGGTTCTGGAAGCTTCAACATTTTGATACATTCTCTCTGACTGCAATTTTGAACCAGGGTAAACGGTTTTAGAATCTGTCTTTCTATTTTCAAGTCAATTTATAATTTTTGACTCAAATTGCTGTAGATATTGACTCAACATTTACTTGAGATACTGTTCTAGCTTCTAATCATTTTCTATTAATATCATAACTCCCCTAGATCTAGCTTTTATAGGCATAAATCTATTTCAGCTCTCTGATTTTTTTCTCTGTCAGACTCTGCTCAGACTGAACTTCTAGGCTCTAGGCTTATTCACTGTATTCTATTGTTACTCTGACAATGGCTGCCTTACGACTGTCTCAAAATGAGATTACCAAATTTGAAGTTTCAAAGAAATTCATGTCAAGCTTATCCAACAATCATCTCATCAATATCATAGGGGACAGCATGGTCAAACTTTTACCTGGGCATCACGGTTCATCTCCATTTTCATTTCCTGGGCAAACTATCAATCAAATTAGATGTACACCTCATTTTTCTAGATTAGCAAGGGAATCAGACATCCTCATCTTTCATTTTGGGGCTAACAACATTTCTACAGGGCAGCGTTTTGACACGTCATCTTCATCTCCATCCTATTCATCCTCTCTCTGTGGAGAAATGGAAGAAGCGATTGACAATGCTCTCTTGCTTAATCCATCTCTTCTCATTCTTTTATCTGGCCAACTTCCGAGAGGGTCCGATAAATTTGGAAATATATCTGATTCTGTCATTAATCGTCAAAATAGAACTTCCAGTAAATTCAATTACTGGTGCGATGTTGGTTCAGAGCGCTGGTCGCAAGTCTCTTTTGTCAATCAATGGGACTCTTTCATCACTCCTGAAAATCATATAAACTCCAAAGGTCTAGCCCATGATGGTCATCATGTTAATGCTACTGGTGCTGCTCTCATGTATACTAACATAGCATCTGCATTAATGAACAATCTACACTCCTCTCTACCTCTTTCACCTCCTGTACCCCCAACTCCTCCTACTCCATCCCCCTCTTTGCCAGAAGATGATCCTGAGGCATGGCCTGTCCTGTCTTCTATTTTTACTTCAATGCAATTTATTAACATTTTATCTTTCATTGAAAGAAAAACCCCAATTTTCCCTACCCCTCCCATACCACCCACTCCCAAAACTTCCCACCATAGACATTCTTTCAAAACAAGTTCCAGGCCACGTCAAAATAAGTACAAGAAAAATAACAAGAAACATGAACGTCATCCTCCAAATATCACTGACCAAGCATGCCCATCCCGAAAAATCACTTCTTACTGCAACCCAAAATATAACAGCTCTCCAAAATTTCAGCCCAAAAAATCAACTTTACTCATTTTTCCAGATGACCAGAAAAAAGCTTCTGCATTAATTGAAAAAATAAGCTCTCAGATTCTCATTCCACCTTTTGAAGCAGTAACTTACAACCCCAACAAACTGACTGATTTTTCAGAATTTGAAATGCCATCCAAGTTTTCTGCTTTAGATTTAGATGAACAGGATACTTCAACTGAAATAACATTTCAAAAGTACTGCTCACCCAGACATACTAAAAACAAAACAAAAAAGCATTTAAAGGCATGGAAGTCTAAAAACAGAAAACGTAGATGTAGAGGATCTGGTTTCACTCTCAAAAAGTCACCTTCTTGTAGCTCCAAAACATTGTGCTCCCTATATGATAGCACATCTGGCACTCAATCTGACACCACCACATTTCATTCTGGCACTCAATCTGACACAACCACATATCATTCTGGCACTCAATCTGACACCACCACATCTCATTCTGGCACTCAATCTGACACCACCACATTTCATTCTGGCACTCAATCTGACACAACCACATCTCATTCTGGCACTCAATCTGACACCACCACTTCTCATTCTGGCACTCAATCTGACACCACCACATCTCATTCTGGCACTCAATCTGACACCACCACATCTCATTCTGGCACTCAATCTGACACCACCACATCTCATTCTGGCACTCAATCTGACACCACCACATCTCATTCTGGCACTCAATCTGACACCACCAAATCTCATTCTGGCACTCAATCTGACACCACCACATCTCATTCTGGCACCCAATCTGACACCACCACATCTCATTCTGGCACCCAATCTGACACCACCACATCTCATTCTGGCACTCAATCTGACACCACCACATCTCATTCTGGCACTCAATCTGACACCACCACATCTCATTCTGGCACCCAATCTGACACCACCACATCTCATTCTGGCACCCAATCTGACACCACCACATCTCATTCTGGCACTCAATCTGACACCACCACATCTCATTCTGGCACTCAATCTGACACCACCACATCTCATTCTGGCACCCAATCTGACACCACCACATCTCATTCTGGCACTCAATCTGATATCACCATATCAGATATCACTGAACCTACTGTTTCTTCAACATTCACTTGTATTCTTTCCACTGCAAGTAAATCGTTAACATATTGTTCATCTATAAAAATATTCCACGTTGGTAAATTAATTGATTTTACAGCAATGTACATAAAATGCCAATTTAGACTAAGACTTGTTTCAGGAAAATTTTTGGAATGTAATGACATTATTGATATTTCAAAAAATCCAACTGTTAATATATTTATATGCGGTCTTGGTGGAATGAAAAGACTCTTCGTTTCTCCATCTTCTCCTGGCTCATCATCTTCTCCAGAAGGTCAGGTCACCCCAAACAAATTGTTATCATCTCCTCAGACACCAAAATCTTCAACTCCTAAATCTACACGCAAATCTAAAATTCCTGGTCATGGTAAAGACTGTGCTGAGATCTGTCCTATATGTTCTCGAAGAATTTTAAGATCTTTCCATTTGATAAATAAACCAGATGATGTAATAAAAATTGCCCTCAGTAAATTCCCTTCTTTAACTGTATATAGTTGTATATGTCGTGCTTGTGAGCCCAAAGTTTGTAGTTTTGATCATTTAATTCCCATGAAAAAGAACAAATCTGAAACAGTGTGCCTTTTCAATACCTCTGATAACGTTTGTGAGCCTGGAAATTTGACTTGTTCTCAGAAATTCTCTTTAGAAGATATAAAGTTATACTGCGATGCAAATGATATTTCCATTGATATATCTATTTTTAATGAGCATAGCCTTTGCAAAAAACATTACATGAATCTCTATCATTTTCTTAGTTCAATGAAATGTAAGTTATGCTCCAGCTTATTTACATCACATCATGGGTTGAATAAATCAAAACGTTTTAGTCCGTACTATTGTATTTTGAAAAGTTTCGTTCATGATAAACAATTGAATGTTGAAATTGATTTAGATAATCAACAGAATTTGCTTTGTCAAAAGTGTTTTTCAAGTTTATCTGTCTATATAAATGAGAACTACAACATTTCAAACATTGGCTCTATTTCTGACAAGTTTCTTCATAATATAACCGAGGAATTTAAACATGAAGTATCTGAGAACAAGGACCATGATTTTTGTCTTTACAAAACTTTTGTTTACATCGCAACTCGTTTACTTAAAGATCATGCTATATTGTTTGTAGAAATTTCAACTTTTTATTATAACCTTGTATCCTCTTACAGTCTTGATGAAGCCCAATCTCTAAATCGTGTCATGCTGTTAAATTCTATAAAAGAAAAATTTGGTAATATTTTAGTTGTTAAATCTAATTCATCTTCGCAAAGGGGTGGGGCTCTTCTTTGTCGACTTGGGTTTGACCCTCTTCATACTTTGCATGTGTCTTTGTGCGATATGTATTTCTCCAAAAGTGAAAATCAGAATGCTAAAAAATCAGACCCATTATTTGAAACAGCCTGTCTACTAAATAAGAAAATAAAGGATCAAATTAAAAAAATACTACTTTTACAGAAAACAGGGCAAATTAACTTAGAAAAAATCCAACTGCTTGAATTTGCTGAAGAATATTTTGACCCTCTATTGTGGAATTTTTTATTTACAATGCTACATGGATGTAAAACCAATCATATTGATGAAAATGTTCTGATGCTACAATGTTCTGATTCTAGTTCTCCTGGTTCTCCCAATAATCATTTAGTACGCAATGACTTGCAATTGTTCAATACATTTAGTTCATTACTATTTGCTCAAAATCCTCAATGTAAAAACCCATTGCCTATGATCTTATCTGATTTCTTAAGTAAATTTACAGAAGATTCATCTTTATGTCATTCAGTTTTTAATTCATTCGGTGCTTCAACAAGTAAAATTACTTTCAAACGGTTTCAATCTAGTATAGCCAAAAAAATTGATGAGGAAGGACCAGAACTTTGTGGTGACTCGGCATATTTTATAAGTGTGGACAATGTGGGAAAAGATAAAAAAAACTGTAGGGGTAGGGCAGACAACACTTCTAAAAGAAATGAAATGACTACTGTGCAATTAGGTATTCCTCAACCATTTAAAATCATTTTAAGTTCAGATGAAAAAACATCATTTTCAAGAGAATGCATTTTTACAACTCATGGTAACTTTTTTAAAATACTAGACATAGTTTGTGATAATTTTACTTTGCCTCGATGCCTTGTTATTATCTTGTTAGACTCTCTTATAAAGTGTGAACGATTAAATGGCTCACCTCTCCTGGACTCTTTAATTTCCTTAGAAAATAACCTAACAACTTTAATGCATTCCACTATAGAGGCTACTCTGTTAAAGGAACAAATATTTTTTGACCAAATCAATGACAAATTTCCTTTTGTCAAAGAACTTTTAGCTTCAGTTTTTTTAACAGGTATGCCTTTAAATATATATGAACGCAGCAGTGAATCTATTCTTGTAAAAAAAGCATCTATCATGCCTAACATTTTAAAGAATAATGTTCCCATTAATCTGTTGTTTGATAAAAAACATTCTCTCTTTTTACCTCTCATAGATTTCACTTGCTTACATTCAGGCAATTCTTTCTTAAACATTTCATATCTAGATAGTAAAACTTTTGATCCTTTGCAAGTGTTTAGACCTGATTTATCCATTCAAAAACTTTTTAATGTAGAATCTCCTTTACATGACTTTTTACCAGAACCTAGAAGAACTTCTATGGAATTAATCCCTTCTGTTTCTAGTACCCTGATTGATTCAAAACGAGAACTACTTGATCATACCCTTTTATCAAATTCTGTTAGTTTGCAGTATTTCTTTCCTACTTCAGTTGAAAAAGAAATTGGTTCTTTGTTTTCCACGCATTTCTTCAATTATTGTTTAACAAAGTTCTCCTACTTTGATAACAATAGTGAAGAATCCTCTATAGAAAAATCCCCAGATGTTTTGAAACCATTTTTAGCTAAATTTTCTCCAAAAAATACAATTACAAGCAAAATTATTTATCTCTCTGTTCTTGACAAGCATGCAGATAAAGAAGAAACAATAAAATATATACTAGACTTGTATCATGAATCTTTAGAAATTGGCATAAGGCAGAAATATTTAATAGTGGTTGGGGATGGTAAAACTTATGACCATTTAGTTAAAATAAAGAACAAATACACAAAAGATTATGATTTTGTACTTCCATGGCCTGGCGATTGGCATATACTCAAAAATTTTGGATCATCTTTAATGAAAATATATTCCAGTGCTGGTTTGACTGAATTAGCTCATCTCTTTTACAAAGGAAATTCTGCTATTGTTGTTACCAGTGCATTAAGTTTTGCCAAAACACACAATTTCATAATGCAGGTATGGGAAGCTATGTATCGCCTTTTGATTGAAATATTTTTAACTCAAAGATCCATTGAAAATACCAAGTGCCAGCTCAGTTCTGATAGTATTAAAGACATTGTTTTAGAATCTCTATCTCTATCTTCCAATGATGAAAGTTACATTCCAAATTTTGTTGCTCTATTTGACAAATTATCTGGTCTTGAAGATGATTTTCATAACTTTTGTGATAAAATGGGAGAACTTGATGAAAATTGGCTTTTTTGGTGCCGATTTGTTTTCAAAGATGCATTTACATATATTGGTTTCTACTTTGCTATGAGAAGTGGAAATTTTGACCTAAGAAATTATTTTTTGAAAAGTATGGCCCCTTATTTTCATATCACCAATTCAACATTTTATTATAGACTTATTCCCTTACATCTATCAGACTTACAGAGCTTCCCAACTTCTATTATTGATCATTTCAGAATAAGTTGTTCAGTTAGTATTTCTGGTACTTTTTATAATCAGTTAGCATTTGATGAGGCTCATGAATCGTGCATAAACAAAGACATTAAACGCGTAATTGGTCTTTCAATGGAAAACACTGTTCAAAATATTAAGTACATGCATTTTAGATCTCTTGTCCACAAAAATTTATTATCACAACTCCCTCGGTCTGATGAGACATCAAATATATATAGTGAGCAAGATACATCATTTAAAAAAATACAGGAAGGTAATATCCAGGCAATTTTGACCAAACTATCAGAATCAGAGCTTTTTTTAACTAGGCCTTATCAAAGTGATATTATTATTTCACCCCTACGCCACATATTTTCAAAGTATGAGGCAGATCTTGACCAAAAAACTTCTCTTTTAAATTTTCATCAAAAATCACATGAGTTATACACAGCCTTTATCAAATGTCATATTTTAAAGGACCAGTCTGCTAAATCTGTTCCTAGAACTAAATACACTTTGAAAACATTTGAAATCAAAAAACCATCATCACATTCTCTAAAAAAACAATTAAATGATCAATCAAAAGTGGTGAAATGTTTAAAAAAACAAATTGAAATATCCCAATCCTCCTTCAAACCTTGTGAAAATATTCACACTGTTTCCCCCTATCCTTTGTCTATTTGTAATACCATTTGTGATAAAAAAGGGAAAATTACACAAGTTACTGCCTTTAAAAATTCAAAATCTGTCACAAAATCCTTTTTTGAAAAGCGTTATAAAGATTGCTGTCCACCCATCTTCCATTATGGTGCACTGCCTCTTAGTTTTGAGCCCAAGGTTTATATTATTGATGGAATGAGCTTCTTATACTCTTCCAGGCCATATAAGGACTTTCATGTTAATTTCCTCACTTATGTTAACAAAATTTATTCAAAACTTATTTCTATGAAAATTCAAATTCATATTGTTTTTGATATTCAGGAAAGTGAACTTATTACTCCTAAAATAATAGAAAGGAATTTGAGAGATTCTGGTGCTGTAGATATAACAAGAGAAAACATAACAGAAACAGATATTTTACCCAGTAATTTTGACACATTTTTAAAAAATAGAAGAAATAAAAGACTTTTTGTGAATTTCTTTGGTGAAACCATTCTAAAATTACACTCAAATAATCCTTCCTCTCCAATTTCAATGTTTGTTTCAGGTTGTTTTTCAGACCCCACTGAATGTTTTTCTTGTTTTAAAGGTAATGTTTCAAAAAATGATTTATTTTCGTGTAATATAGATGAAGGGGACTCAAGGATTTGGTTTCACGTTTCATTGTGTGAGGAGAAAGATATCCTCATTTTTTCAAAAGATACTGACTCTTTCATGATTGGCTTGCCTCATATTTCTAATTTAAACAAAAACATTTTTATCAACATAGGAGGGTCAAAAGCAATAAGTGAGGTTTTTATACATATGAATATTTTATTTCAGAACATTTCAAATGATTATTCTCTACAGTCTATGGATGCATCAGGTATTGGGAGAACAATCCAAACAGTTTTTATATCCAGTGGTTGTGATTATGTGAGTTCTTTCAAGGGTTTTTCAAAATCATTTGTTTTTGAAACTTTTTTCAAAAATTGTGATTTTATTTGTGGCAAGGATTCAGTTAAAGCCAACCTTGGGTCACTATGTAATACTTCATGTGAAGATTCTGATTTAGGATTCTTGGCATTTATGCGTTTAATTGTCTTTTTTTTACTAGATGTAAATCAGCATTTTACGATTTAATTTCAGATGAAAATCCAGTATCTCTGTTTAATCACCTTTGTAAACCCCATAATCCTCCTTTTGATAATCACACCACTTGGCTTAGTTTAATTAGAGAAAAAAATGCAATGCGTGACTACAGGGAAAGATGGCTGCCTACGGCAGATGCTTTAGCTTTTCATTGGAAGCGGTCTTGTTGGGTTTCCCAAGTTTGGTTTCAGTGTTTAAATTCAGTAGTTTATTATCCTAGCTTAAATGATTGGGGTTGGTTAGTTGTGGATGGAGAAGTTTCTATTACTTGGGACTCTGCTGAAAATATGAATAAGGTCAATGAAACTGTTCTATTTCTTTAGTGAAAGGTTGCTCTTGCAAAAAAGACCCATTTTGTTCTGGTAATTGTGGTTGCAAGAACAGACCTGGTGGATGTGGACCTACTTGCCTCTGCAAGGGTGGGGTTAATTGCAAAAATCCAGTTAATTTGACAAAAATAAAGGAAGATACAAATGATAAATCACTATTAGAAGATGAAGATAATTCAGACTGTGAAAATAATAATGAAATGAATGGACTCCTTTTTCAAGATGATATTTTATTTAACACAGATGATTCATCTTCTGATGATGACAGTGATTTTAGTGCTTAACATGATTTATTTCATATTATGGGCAAAATATGCATTATGCTATTTACAGGGAAAGTATAGGATTCAATCTGTCTTATCCATCTCCATTAAGTGGAGGTTGGATATTTTTTTCTATTTTTTTTTCATTCCTGTGAAATTCCCTCTTTTATCCATCTTCACTTTGTGATGATTGGATATGATATGCAATAAAATATTATATATTTGTACTCAAATATTCCTTGTCACTAATCCACTATGTGTATGATGCTTACATGTATGTCCTCACTTCAACTTGTAGGTTTTCTCATCTTAATACATAGATATGCCCTCGCTATTTTCTACTAAACCTGTTATGGTGTTGTGTAAGATACTAATGTCCTCACTTCAACTTGTAGGTTTTGCCATCTTTTACTTAAATATGCCCTCATATTCATCTTCTAAACCTGTTATGGTGTTGTGTAAGATGCTAATGTCCTCACTTCAACATGTAGGTTTTCTCATCTCATTACTTAAATATGCCCTCTTACATCTACTAAACCTGTTATGTTGTTGTGTAAGATACTAATGTCCTCACTTCAACTTGTAGGTTTTGCCATCTTTTACTTAAATATGCCCTCATATTCATCTTCTAAACCTGTTATGTTGTTGTGTAAGATGCTAATGTCCTCACATCAACTTGTAGGTTTTGCCATCTTTTCACTTAAATATGCCCTCATATTCATCTTCTAAACCTGTTATGTTGTTGTGTAAGATGCTAATGTCCTCACTTCAACTTGTAGGTTTTGCCATCTTTTACTTAAATATGCCCTCATATTCATCTTCTAAACCTGTTATGTTGTTGTGTAAGATGCTAATGTCCTCACATCAACTTGTAGGTCTTGCCATCTTTTACTTAAATATGCCCTCATATTCATCTTCTAAACCTGTTAGTTGTTGTGTAAGATGCTAATGTCCTCACTTCAACTTGTAGGTTTTGCCATCTTTTACTTAAATATGCCCTCATATTCATCTTCTAAACCTGTTATGTTGTTGTGTAAGATGCTAATGTCCTCACATCAACTTGTAGGTCTTGCCATCTTTTTACTTAAATATGCCCTCATATTCATCTTCTAAACCTGTTATGTTGTTGTGTAAGATGCTAATGTCCTCACATCAACTTGTAGGTTTTGCCATCTTCTTACTAAAATATGTCCTCTCATTCATCTATTAACTTACTTGTGTAAGATGCTTATGCAATGTCCTCACTACAACTTGTATGTTTTCTCATCTCAGTGCGAGTACTAATCTTGTCTTATCTTTCCATATTCTTTCATAGCTCATGTCTTCTCTTAGCTTTTTAACCTCTCTCATCAATTATCTTCCTACCTCCTCTTTTAGCTCTCTTGTATTTTCTTAGCTTCCAATTTTCTCTATATTGTCCCCAATACTTAACCCTTGTAAAGGTAGAGTGAATACGTACAGCAATTTAGTCTCAATTTGATTATGTTTATATGGGCAGGGATTAAATTAGTTGGGAAAATGCAGTCAGAGAGCCTGCTTATATTAACTCAAAAATGGTAAGTTTATATGTATATTAAAGTAACTGATAACTACATTTGTAGCTGGAGACAAACATATGTCAGACATGCCAATCCCCATTCATAATATGGAAATTTCAGATTCCACAAATCTCTCTTTTATACATGTATGTAGAACAAGTAGTAAATAAGAGATAACCTCTTACCTTAAGCTTTGTGGTAAACTTGTAACATGATATAATGAACTTTGAATATCCTTATAATCAAAAATTATGTTCTTCTCCAGGCCAAGTTTGGGACACTCTTCCCACTATGGTGGTAGAATGGAATGAAATGAGTTGGATTATCTTCTCTAATTGGTGCAGATAACATAGATTGAGGACATACCAGATGAATCCCAGAATGCACTAGCTGTAATGATCACATCTAGTATTGAGGAGCAATGTACTACTCAACATACCAGATTACTGGGACCCCATGCTTCAAACACAAAAGGTGGAGCATTTTAATATTCCCTCATGATGATGATACAAAGATGATTGGTTTCTGTTTGGTAGTGGGTTGTGACTCTGCGAAAAGCAACATCAATTTTTTAGTCACATACACTGTCCTTATTGAAGGCAATTTTGAGTTTAGAGTAAGAAAAACTAAAAAACATTAAACTCTAAACTTAATCTTTTAACAGTTTAAAGGTTCATTCTCAATATTTCACAATTCAATATGACTCAAATTATAATCAAATTGATTCCATCACTTTTGTATACATGTACTGTATGTAGTAAAATGAAAATATCTTCAGCTTTGACTTCCATTTTGAATAAGCCATCAATATTGTTAATATCCTATGTGTTCATTTTCTAAATGCATTATAGTTGTTTCATTTTTGTAGGATCATGTGCTTCTAATGTGGAGTGAGGATGCCTCAAATATGAGCAGCTGGCTTTGAACTCTTATGCAACTGGCTTTTACAGACATCTCTCTGAAATGTTTACAAAACCACATGACAGGAAGTTCTTATCAGTGTAAGTCAGCTTCTCATATGGTTCATAATATGTTTTATTTTACCTGCTGTCAAGGTTGGAATTGTCATTTTGGAGATAACTCTGGAAGGCCTAAGGGAGGTACATGTACAAAAAGTACAACCTCTCCTGGAGTTTCGTTTTTTCTTCGAAAAATTTTGTCGGTTTTGGGTAGTGTCTTCAAATAGGTGGGGCTACAGGTACATCAAATGTATTCTTAAAAAATCAGTGGAATTGTACATAGGGTAATTAATTTAATATGCTTATGCCCTTTGTACCCCCTCCCTCTCTTGGGACTTTGTGTGAAATTCATACCTAAGGCTTCAAGGGTTAATATAGAAAAACAATCTACAGTGTTTCATGTTTCAAGATGTACTTTGCCAATGATTTGATACACAATATATTTTTATAATGAGTAATATTTCTGTAGATCTAACCTATGGTCAATAATTAAAAATGGATTGGAAACAATGTTTTCAATGTCAAAGAAATCATAGATTTCCTTTTGTTGGATTAAGTGTAAAACTTGTGAAATTTATGATTGACATTGATCAAATATTGTATTTGTTTTTATTATCATTTATTGCAGCAAAGTTAAGATAGAACAAACCAATGGGAAAGAATCTAGCATGGATTGTATGTTGTTTCATGCAGCACAACAGATGATCTGATTGGTCCAATATGTTAGACAAACTTGACTGGAGGGTATGCAGATCATAAGATAAAAATGATAAAAGTAAGCTGATACATGTATGTCTCATTATTTATTCACATGTAGGCCATGTAGGCAGGCATGGCATAAAAAAATCCAGTAAATCAGAACACACCATTCAAACTTATACAGTTATATGCATTCTATATTTTACAACAGATTAAATATTAACAATTTACCTAATTACCTTCCTCAATTTTGTAAGCAGTTGAGTGAAAAACTGTTAATAGTATCAATTTGAATAAATATTAATCAATAACAAGGTAGGTACTTCTGCTGGTCAAAATGTTCAAAGATTGAACCCTTTTGAACAGGGAAACCACTATCGTGCAAAGTATTGAGCTTTCTTTTACATCAAATGTATACATGTATATTTGCAGGATTCTTAAGCAGGAGAGATTCCAAATACTCAAATCTTAATACTTTGGCTGTCAGGAGGTCATCTTCCAACTAACAAACATTGAACAATGGGAATACAGGAGGATGATCTGGGCTTATTCCAATAACATTCAAATAACTGCTAAAAGTAATCCAGGTCCCAAATACAATTTCCATATACATCAGATATATCGAATGTTCATGTTATCCCACATGGAATATCCAAATATATGTGACTATTTGAAAAATATCAAATGTTTTTAATGTACACTGTAGGCATAATGGTCAAAATAAAACTGTTATTGTAAACCTTGAAGGAAATGTTGATCAATGTGAAAAAACTCAACATTTATATATTTTTTATGTTGAACTCTACCTGTATATGATAGTACATTTAATTATGCTTTGGGTTAAAACATATTTTTACTGTATACATATTTTTAGTTCTTGGCAAGTGTGCACAGTCGCACAGTATGATGTTTCAATTTTATATCTATCCTTATCAATTAGGCCTGTATGTATTGAATAAGATATGTCCAGTGCTGCCATATTTGAATTGGATAAATAAATATTTGTACTTTCGCTCTACATAGATTTTTATTTGTCAATTCACATGATCCATACCCAGGGATCCATAATAATTCCGGAATCTTTTTTATTTCATTTAACTGTCACATTATTATTAGAATAGTACTGGCAAATGGATGGACATGCAATGTATGTGTATCATTTACCAATTTATCCAATCGGTTTTGAAAGACAGGAATCATTGATTTATCCATTTAATTAGTTAATGAAAACATGGAATGAAATTCTGCACTAAGGGCTAATGTGGAAAATACAGTCCAACCTAGTGGGGATCCGAGCTTCATTGATCTTAAAACAATTATCGCTGAAGCTAACTGACGAAAGCCGTGAACATCTCCATGACTTATCGCACATTCAATGGTGGCGAAAATAAAAAATAAAATTTTGACATACGCTAAAAAGGTTGATCATCACTTTCACCAGTCCATGCCATTTTAGAAGAAATCACATTTTTGCGTGTTCTTTTTGTTTCTGTCGTTTTTCTTATTCACGCGACATTTAATAAACAATGAAAAATAAGATTAACTTACTTCAATTCAACTACTTATTTCATGAAATACAATTCGGATACCGGCTATATATCATGTATAAAACATGGGCATGTAAACACAATAATTATAAACAATCATTTTGAAATCCGATCGTCAAAGATGTGTCCACAAGGCTTGAAAGGTTAGCAAGATATCATACATCGTGTAAAACGGCTGCATATCCATTCATATTTCTTTATGATTTAATGAAAGTTGACGGCGAGGACGTAAATTTATGAAAGAAATGGAAGTGAACTTGAATTAGAATTGGTCGCACTAAAATGGCAGAATCTCGTTTACCCCAGGGTAGGTAAAATGAATAACGATCATTGAAATCCTCTCATTTTGATCTACAAGTGGTGAAATAATTTTAGATAAAACCGGTTGTTAGCGATGCGTCCGCTATTAGGCTTGAAAACAATATCGTTGTTGGATTTTCTTAAATACCCGGATGCGATTTTAAATATGGCGGAGACTCTACCTTCAATATAATGTGTATATTAGATAAGATAATGAGAATAACATTCTGAAATTTCTTAATATAAGCTTTGCAAATCAGTTTACTTTGTGGGAAACCGATAAAAGACGAGTGATCTAATATCATGTAAAAATGGGTGCATCTCCCAGGAAGTTCAGTCACGCGACAATCTGGTATTATGTGACGTTAAATGATGAAATAAATGGCTAAAAGACACTTGCACTAAAAATTGGCAGAAACCCATCTCCCCCAGGGTTGGTAAAAAAGAATAACACCATTGAAATCGTCTAGATTTGAGCTAAATAGTGCTGAATTAATTATTTGTGAAGGCCGCCGTTAACGATTTATCCGTAAGGCTTGAAAACAGTACACATTTTTGCGTTTTCTATAAAAATATCACAATTGCGATTTTGATTATTGAGACCAGACCTTGAATATGATTAAAAAATGAGAAAGACCGTCTGAAACTACTTGATATACGTTTTTCAAAACTGTTTACCTTGTGGGAAACCGATAAAAGACGAGCGCGATATCATCGTGTAAAGATGGGTACATCCGTCCAATAAAGTTCAGTCACGCTACAACCCGTAATATGTGACGTTAAATGATGGAATAAATGGCCCTAAAAAACACTTGGTCGCACTAAAAATTGGCAGAAACCCATCTCCCCCAGGGTTGGTAAAAAAGAATAACACCATTGAAATCATCTAGATTTGAGCTAAATAGTGCTGAATTAATTATTTGTGAAGGCCGCCGTTAACGATTTATCCGTAAGGCTTGAAAACAGTACACATTTTTGCGTTTTCTATAAAAATATCACAATTGCGATTTTGATTATTGAGACCAGACCTTGAATGTAATTAAAAAATGAGAAAGACTGTCTGAAACTACTTGATATAGGCTTTTCAAAACCGTTTATTTTGTGGGAAACCGATGGAAAACGAGGGAGATATCATCGTGTAAAAATGGGTGCATCAACCATGACGTTCATTCATGCGAAAATCGCGCGGGCTAATCACCGTAGATTACTACGCGAAATATGCAGAGAACAATGGAAATGACGTCTTGGATCTCCTGCTGTACACTTCATGATTGAATTATGACCCTAATAAGCGGCCTATACATCAATACAATGCTGAATATAGGTCAACAAGATACTAGTGTGCATATAAATGTAATAATTGAAGCAGAATACTCATTTTGAAAAATCAGATGAATTATTTTTTTCCCATGGGGAGATCCCAATGGAGGGTGTATAAGGTCCAAAGTCAATATGACCAAACTACTTGTTTTTTGTTCAGTTAGCTATTAAAAATACAGTATGCCAGGTTTCTCTCCCGGACAATACATGATGTCCCATTATATTCAATCAGGGAAACCCCTGTCAAGTGACAAGAGCACACAAACATCAGCAAACTGTGCCTTGAGCCAGACAGCCAATTAGATTCAAAGCCGGTTTTAAATTTTCAGAACTGTCATTTATAGAGTTCCTTTGGTCATGTGACCATACTGATAATTAAATATAATAACAAATTAGATAAAATATGGATTTCCCTGATTTATTCAAGTTTAGCACATGAAGCTGTAAAGATGGGACATCTTCCTTGGTAAGTAGATAAGTGAATATGTGGTATGGAATAATTTATTTGTCAAACAAATATGTTACAAAAAATTTACTTGACAATACTGCCAAACATATTCAAGATCCCTTCTTCGAACAACTGAATAAATTAAATAACCCCTTCGGTTGAAATAATAAGAACATTTCCTACATATAAATTACATCTACATATTTAGCATCATACCTTGGTCCATAGCATAGCAGAGGCTGCAAGCATATCTACAATCCAAGCATGTCCCTGTATTATGGTCCGACAGATCCCATTGCTTTGACAGTTCTTCTATTCCAGCCAAATCATCCAAAATCAGCATTGGCCAAACACCCAAGAATGGACATGTCTTCCTAGCATTTGAAAGGAAAAACTCTGAAAGTAAAAGTTCATATCTTGTATTTATGTACTGCAGTAAAAGCGATGGTATGATCATAGCAGTAAATGCGATGGTATGATCATAGCAGTAAATGCGATGGTATGATCACAGCAGTAATAGCGATGGTATGATCACAGCAGTAAATGCGATGGTATGATCACAGCAGTAAAAGCGATGGTATGATCACAGTAGTAAGAGCGATGGTATGATCACAGCAGTAAAAGCAATGGTATGATCACAGTAGTAAAAGTGATGGTATGATAACAGTAGTTAAAGCGATGGTATGATCACACAAAGTCAGCACTATCAATGGTATACTCTACCTTAAGTAACTTGATTGAATGGAAAAGATGCTGTCCCCTTTCAAAATGATGTTCCGCCATTTTGAAATCTGTCACAAGTAAATAAGGTTAACTGATGTTGCATTCTGGGAGTCAATCATCCTTGGATCACAAACATGGCGATTCATGAAAACATTTGTTCGATTTGGTAGAGATTTATCCATCATTTGCAGGTATGAAGCTTTGGATTCATTTATTGTGCTACTTAAAGTGAACAGGAATTATTTTTCTACCGCTTGAGAGAGTTTGAGACACAACACTTAGAGTCTACCTCATTGTGACAACTTTTGAGGGTTGAGGTTTATTTTTCAATTTTTGTCCCCCACTTTATTGACTTTTTGTCAATCCAGAATGCCCAAGAGTCTCCCCAGAATGTAACATTGTCTGAGTCTGTTATAGTGCACCTTGTACTTGTCGAGCGTGATATCAATCCTTCGAAAATCAGCAAACGTTACTATGACTTAGTTATAGAGTCAAAAAACATTTAAAAAAATCACTCTAAAAGTTTTTACCTTCCATTTTTAAAATATTGCCGGATTACGCACAGAGTCAAATGTGATTGGCTCAATTTATAGTTTTGATTCCGTTGCTGTTCCATGCAGAGAACATTCTCCTTCAAAATGTAAACTATCTTTGTAATATATAGTACATTAATGCTTGTAAGAATATGCAAAATTATTCATCAACTTTTTTTTATCTTATTTAGTATTGATGTATTTTCTTTTTATATTCAATAGGCTCCATCATTGAGAAAAACACGAAGTAATATACAGTTTGATCGACGCAGTTTACAAAACGTATCAGCCAATCAGGGCGAGGAAGTGAAAACCCAAAAATATTTGCTATTTTGTTTACCTCTTATTTATGGAATTTCAACGATCTGAATAAGAATATTACAAGGTAAGTTTACATGTACTCAAATTAGTATACATTTATAGCTACCAGTGAGCTGTTTCAATCAGAAAACAGAGTTTTTATAGTAAATTTAGTTTGAAATGTTGACCTACTTTTCAGTTCCTCAAATAGTTTCACTCTTCAGTTCAAATATGTAAATGCCTATACATTAGTCACTCTAGTCATAACATTGGCATCTGCTTTGTGGTAAAGAACAATATCCTTCATGCTTTTGTCTCTTTTGTCCCTCAGTGCTGATCGACAACTTTTTGAAATGGTTAGAGATTTGACATTTACAATAATGGATAAAATATATATGGTTGAAGTATACTCATTGCTACATATACCCTGAATGGCAGAAATTAATGCAGCGTCAAATGGATCTTGAGCCAGTTCGAATGGAGTTACCATTTAATGAGGTAGCCTAAGTTAGCAGTATCGCGGCAGTATCAATAGTATAATAACGTCATTTGAAAGGGCAATAAAGTTAATTTGAACATAACTGTATTCACACTCTATTAATTCTGAACAAAGTCAACATTTCACCTGTGGTATACTTGTCAACACTACCCCTGGTAATAGAAGTAATGTGTGACGTCATAACGGCGGGTCGTAGCAATGGCGGATCATTAAATGAATAATCGAAAAATCTTGGTTAGTTTTCATGTTTGAATCTAAATAGAGCCCTCAGAGCAGGACAATATCGACAAATACACCCTTTAGGGCTAGGCACAAAAACTTTTGAACCATATTTCAACTGATTACTTATAATCTGATTATATATCTAGTATATGTAACATTAAAAAGGCCTTAAAACTCCATTGTGTGATTATTATTATTATTATATCTTGGTTACCGCCATATTTGGCGAGCAATACCTCATTGGTATATTCCGTATTTTACGTATTTTACACTCGAAGATAGAGCCAGAAACCCCTCCTTGGAGGAGCCCTGTGTTCTTTTATGTGCACAGGTACACAGACATACAGGTACACACCACAGCCTTTTATACGAGTCGTGAACCACTCAGTCAAACACCCAGAATTACATAACGCACAAACAAACTTGTCTGAACCGGGAATTGAACCCGGGGCCAAGCGATATTGGTAACCTTGACTCTCTCTGCCACTGAGCCATAGCGGGTGGGTGATACATATTAGAAAATGTGTAAGCTAAGTTAGTCTGAAAAGGAAGATATATAATGACATATGAAACAGAAAAAGATAGGATGAGCAACTTTTGAAGTTTTTGTATTTTAGAGATATGTTTAAACTAAGATAATGCTCTCCATACTCTATAATGTAGTCTATTATATCATTTTAAAAATAAAGTAAAACGATACATGTACAAGTACATGTAATTTTAAAGGACTGTGGATACTCTATTATAAGGCTCTACTATCAAGCAATTAGTTTCCAAAAATAAATAGACTTAGCCTCAGGCATTATCAATACATGTCCTGTATTGGCAAATGTCAAGTTACTTTTTTCAACAACACTTTCACATAGTAAAACCATCCACCCTGTACAGTATTGAACACCCTTCAAAAAATGAACACTTTTTAAGAGCCTCGTTTTCCTCTAATAATGACACCCATCATTCATCTGAAATGAACACTCTGGTTCAAACTATCTGTTAGATCTCAAAGGTGTTCACCGTATAGAGGTGTTGCTGTACATATTCTGTATTGTATTTAAACACATGTTCATTCTTCTTATAAAAATATGGAAACAATTAGAAAATATAAATTCTTACTATGAAATGTTTAGGAAGAATAATTCAAATTAATAGGCAATTACTTGAGTTAATTACTCAAGTTATTTCTGTTATCTCATCTGTATTTAAAGCTTAAGGAAATGTTCAGAGATAAATGGTAGCAGTTGCCAAGGTGACTCAGATCCTGAACTATTCCAAACTGATAGAATGATTCTTCTTTTGATAATTGTGAATTCCCCATGCATGAAATGCTATAATGAGATTGCTAAATGCTAATTTCATACAGATCATCTGATGTGCATATTATAGAATAGTCTAGATATTCTTTTAGCTTACTGTATAATGACATCCATATGTGTACAGTAAAACCTATGCATTTTGAACATTTTTTCCCAAGAAAAAACATTCAGTATTTGTAGGTGTTCATTACAGTGAGGGTAAATTATACAGAAGTCAATAGAATATGTGCAGAGGAAGGGTGTCTACTAGAGACAGGTGTTCACTAAGACAGGTTTACGAGAGTATGAGAAAATAATAAATTTTGGGTATAAATTATACTTTTGATCAGTGTTTTTATCAATGTAGTTTTCTCACCAGTTTTTCTTTAAGTTCTTTGTATGTATATTTTTCATCACAGTTATAATGAAGTATACTTTAAAGAAAATAGTAGCATCAGAAGGTAAGCTCACGTTTTACATCAGGGTCAAATATCAATTAAGGGATCTAAAATATTTCAGTTTGGCTTACTCGTTAAATATCAAATAAAACATTAACTTGATTAATATTTAGTTCATTTGAGATTTCTCAAGTATAATATACTATAGGCTGGGTGAGCTTATTTGAATGGGAGGTCTCTAATTTGTCTCATAAATTCAACATCATTCATGAATTTGTTAATCATTTATCTTGATTATTCAAAAGTAAAATTTGATTTTTGCCCAAGGCTAACATTCAACCTTTCATCTGTATGCTCATATATGTTCTGTATTCAGCGTCAGGATATAAAAATTATCAAGGTTTCTATTATTATTCACAAATACACTGTACATGTTTTAGATGTGTATTTGCTCTGCTAGAGCATGCATTTTACTGATACATTTTCTCTCACTGCCAAGTTTTATTATTCCAAAAGTAGATTTTCGTTTAATGTATTATGGTCAACCATAATAGAATTGAAATCATCTTTCAACAAAATTTGATAGATATCATGTAGAAAGAGCAGTGGTCTCCCCATGTCACTTTTATCAGGTGGCCCCAGCCCCCTACTTGAAACCAAATGCTACCCAGTTGGCACCCTGCACTTCAACTGATTTGAAAAATGTGTGAAGTAAGCAGTCACCTGGAGAGCACCGATTTTTGTGAGCACTGATTTTTTTAGACTTGAAAAATTGCACCCAGTTAAAAAAAATTTGGGGGGAGACCACTGAAGAGTGTTCAGCTTTTGGCTGTATAAATTCTATGATTGGTTTAAATTAATTGATACCAGTAAAACATTTCTATCTCATTTAGCTACATGAAATAGGAGATAAAAACATACAAATCTGTGTTTTCGAAGAGGAATTACAAAAAACTAAGTTGTTGAGCTCTTAATCTCTTACTTGCCTGTACCTCACAAAAGGGATCAAAATATTTTTGGCGATATAAATAAATAACGAATTTTGCCTGATTACAAACCATATTGTTGTAAGGAACCTTATAAAATGTTAAGTCCTTTTTATATGAGATAATATTCAAGCTGACAGGTGCATTATAAAAATATCAGTTGGTATACTATATGATATTATGTATTCTTTTCAGCTGGCTGGGACAAAATGTTGATGTTCATCAAAAATAATCGATTTTGTTTTGACTTCACTCCTTCCCTCCAAAAACAAAATCACAATTATTGAAAAGACACATGAGAATAACCAAATCAAATCAAAATGGTCTTTCACCATGGTAAAGTTGTTCCAAAGGGTATCCATTTAACAGCTTTTTATTACACTTATTGTACTGTATTTGTTTTGTTTCTAATAGGGACGTGTCTAGACCATAGATCAAGATGTATGCCCAGAGTCCCAACAGTCCTCACTCCCCAGGCGGGAATATACAGATCAAGTGGGACCCCAAGGATTGGGAAATAAGAACTAAGTCTGTTGAACAGACACTTGAGCCTCTAGTAACACAGGTTAGTACATTTACAATCTTGCATCTTTCTTAAATATTTTGGATAAAAACCAGAACCTACAAGTTGCTGATTGGTTTAAAAGGTATCTATGATAGGTATTTTTAGCTAAACTGGAGTTATCCTACGTTATATATGTGTACATTTAGAAAATATATTCTTTGATGAGAAATTGTGCAATCAGTAAACCTTAAATAATTGAATTTGCTACCTACCTCCTTGTTTTGGTAAAAAGGATTATTTCAGAGAACAAATCTAAATAACACAATTTGAAATGTAATGTTGCACATTTTCTCCATTTGACCCATTTAATTTTCATAGGTGACTACATTGGTCAATCAAAAGGGAGTTTCGAAAAAGAAGAAAGGACGCTCTAAGAAAGCACATGTACTGGTAGCTGCAGTACTTCAAGCCACTGATAACTTCATCATTAAGGGAGAAGAGATAGCAGAGGAGAATCCTGAGATTCGCAATGAGATGTTGGCAGCTGTAGATGATGTCAGGAAAACTGGTAAGGGGTCATCTCAAGATGTTGTTTGCTTGATAAAAATCACTAAGGTGCATGTTTTGAAATCGGGTGAAAATAGGGTGAAAAGATGTGGAATTGGCAAGATAAAGTTAGTTATGAGAGGTTTGCAAGAGCAGACAGATTTTTGAAGAAAAGTGTGGAATTGCCTTAGAATAAAGTAGTATCTAATTCTCTCAATTGGATAACAGAAAATGTAACAGGATGGAATTTATTGAGAATCCTAAAATCT